TTAGACTCATTCATAAGGTGTCACAATTAGTTCAAAGGTAAACTTGAAGAACTATATGTAAATTAGATGAATTTACAAGTAGATGCAAAAAGGGTCTTTCAATAAGGCAATATAATCAATTGCTTTTCCCCAAGGACACAATTAATTTGCATTTGTATAGATAAAGCATATCATACAATAAATTATTAGCTTTGTTATCAGTTTTCAACAATTTATGGAATTGTAAAATAGTCCAAAGACAGGGAAAAGCCAAATTAGCCAGAAGGTAACATTAGATAAGAGGGCAGCAAATTTTTTTTTTCCAGCTTCAATGGCTTTCACAATTTTTCCTAACACAGCTCATGCAAAATTCTACATAAGGGACACTCTAGGAAAGGGACACTTTTTGGGAGAGCCAATCTGTTTGACCCTGCCTCATCCTTTGATTCTGTTAAAAGTCACTCAGACCTTTCTTCTACTTGTCTCAGCAGAAAGGGCTGTTGCTATTAAAATTGAACTAATATCTCAAGTAATCTTAAACCAAAGATTTTCAGTGTACTGGAGGCTTATGTTAATGTAGACTCTGGATAAGAATATTTTCCTCCCAGTCGATATCTTTAGGAGAGTACTTATTTTCAATTTTGCCATCCCGACCAAAGCCAACCTGGAAATTGTCATATTGGAATTATTTGCAGTTTCTTGTTCTTTTCTTCTGATACCAAGTCTAGATCTGTAGCTCTCATTTGTAAGAACCTAGACTGTGAAAATAGGAATGTGGGAGCATAAAGAACACTCTACTAAATCTTATTTTAATAGCATAATTGGTGATGGTGACAGTTATTCACATTGCTTTGTCTTCTTTTGATTTCTAATTAACAAATAGTAATGAAATGGCTGTTAAAAAGAAGAAGATAGGATTAATGAATGTAAATTGTAAAAATAGATTGGGCTAATATTAAGCAGACCTCTTCCATTTTATAAAGAAGACAAATTGCCCTTGAGAGCTTACATTTCTTGTTTTAATAAATGATTTCTCCCCCTCATCTGTTAGTAAAGTTCACTTTTGGACAGATGCCAAACAATGAGGAACTATGTATGGCAAAGTAAAATAACTAAGAAACTGAGAAACAAGAACCTTCTGGGGGAGAGTCATTAAAAACAAACAAACAAAAAACAGACCAGTAAGAATGAGTTTGTGAAAAGCCTGTCCAGGCAGGAAAACAAATCAGATGAACTAATTCCCCTCTTACCTAACCATTTAGGGGTGAAATTTTATTGAAAGAAATGTTTGATTTTACAATGGAATGAATTAATTTTGCAATCAGTTTATCACTAAAAGTTTTTCTTAGCTCAGAACTGAATTGCTATTTCAATTATTATGGAATTTCATTGCAAATATGAAACATTTGCCAAGACTGAGATACTTATCTGATATGGTTTTAAGACCGCTAAGACAGTCAAGGGTTGCATGACCTTGTGTTCTTGACCAGGGACTGTTTGGCCAGAGGCATGAATTACCCAGATGCATTTGCTTACATATAGGCGTCAAACGATAAAAAGATAGAAGACTTCTTTATTATCAACATCCAAGTTGTTTCACATCTTTAAGCTATTTTGCCATATGAGTCCATTTTGGCCTTAAAAAAACTATTGATGGTATAGAGTCTTACCCTTTCAAATCCGTAGATCTTTTCATATCAAGTACTTTTCCTGGAACCGTTTTAGGAATAGTTGGATAATCTTGTATTTGCAAGGGGTGCTACTATTTTGAATGTTTTCCTTTTATTAACTTTTGGCAATTTAGTTTTTCTGTTTCACCATAGAGAATTAGAGACAGAGAGGAATTAAATAATTTGCCCCAGAGTATGTGTGAGAACTGGGATTGGAAGTAGCTAGTTTAGCCTTAGGGAATGTGCTCTGCATCTTGGTCTCATTCTGTATCAGGGCATGGGCAGAGCACTAAAATTAAGATGTAGCCAAATAAATGTTCAATAAGAATCAGAGATTATCAACTCTACAAATATTCACTTTTAGATGCCCCAAGTTGAAAATAGGTATTAAAATACAATATTTAACTTGGTTTCAAAAAAGATAAAAGGATAAGAAATTTTGAAACATGATAGCTATCCATTAAGAGTACTTTCTTCTTATTCCTGAAGTCTATTTTGGAGCTATTGACAAGAGAGCTTTTCTGTGATAAAGTGCAGGGTTAAATGTTTTAGAAAAAACCTTACATGAATTTTGTATTATACCTATAGATAGGTGAAAGGAAATAGGATGTATTCAATCAAAAGTAATAATGACTCTATCTTGCCAAACTATCCATTAAGCAATTCAGCCAGCAAGTCATGAATGATTTTTTAAATTTCTTACCTTATCTTAAAAAAGATAAGGTAAAACTAAGTATGTTTTACTCACCATTGTGTTTCTTAACACCAAACATAGTGCCTGACATAACACTTATTTGAATGAATTAACATAGCACTCTAGTTAAGTTCTGGTTCTAGTGAAACAAATAATAAATTTCTCTTGACCATAATTTTGTCCTCTATAAAAGAAGGGGATTGATTTCTTAAAGATCCCTGTGACTTTAAAATTTTGACTCTAAAATCTCCAATGGAGATTTGTGTTCATGTTGCATATGGTGTTTGGTTTTTGCTTTTGCGCATAATCTCAACAAATTATTTTTTCCCAGCTCAGTGGAGAGTCAATAAGAACTTATGACATGATGGGAAATGAGAAGGTTACAGCTGTTGAAGTCTGATGAAAACATCCCACCCTGGGAATATATGTCACCATGAACAACAACACAAGTATTACCATCTTAAACACTAGCTGAGAGGTGCGTTTTGGGCAGCTTTGTCAAGTTTTTCTCCCTATATTTCTAGAGATTTACAAGAAATGTTTATAGAAAGTGCTCTTCTCTACTTCCAGATAAAGATAATGTAGTAGATGTTCTATAAAATATTAGATAGAATATATATAAGTCTTGAGGGACACAGAGTCCACACATTCTGCTCCTTGGTGGAACAAATATTATGTACATAGAATCTCCTTGTAGAATTTTCTATACTGATCTGACATGGTTGTTATTTTAAATTTAAGGTTTCCAAATTGAGCATCGTTGGGGCATGGGGTGAATATGGTATAAGAGGCCATTAAATTAGCAGGTATCAAAAGTTATTTCATCAAAATCTCACCAAATCTAGAATAGGGCCTCCCCTGGTGGCGCAGGCAGTTGAGTGCCACACTGTGAAGCTGTCCACAGCCTCTGCAGTGGGGTTCGATCCCGGCCAGTTGTGAGGGTCCCACATGGCGCAGCAGACCTCTCCTGTCTCACCCGCTGCTCCCCTCAGCAGTGTATTTCGTCAGTCTGCCTGTTCTGTTCCCCGCTCTGTCTCTGGTGAATCCTCTCACACTCCCTTACCTCTGGCCTGTACCCCGGTTCTTGTATAAATAAATAAATCTTTAAAAAAAATCTTCTAGAATATATATTTTTTCAGAACAGAATCATATTCTCCTAAGTAATAGTGTTGTCAGAAAAGAAAATGTGTCATGACTTTTCCACAACCTAATATCTCAGTGAAGAATGTTGGTTTTCTGTGGTACCAGCTATCATTAAAAATAAAAAATAGGTAGATGTGTAGGTAGATAAACAGTTAGGAAGACAGATAAGTTAGATAGGATTTCATGTTCTGTGGAAAAGCTTGGCAGAGTTAGATAGTTTTCTTGGTAGTAGATCTTCTTAGAGGTGCTAAATGTGAATTTGTGCTAGGTGGATCGCTAATTGGCAGGGTAGAGATTAGTATACGTGTTTCCCTAGGTTTAAGAAACCCTCTTTTCCCTTACAGAGGATTTTGTGGAACTTCAGCCTCATGGAAAACAATTACTCTGTACATGTTGACTGTCTAAATGTTTTGCTTATCAGAATTTTCAATTTAGGTAAAGCTAATTAAAATAAGTTTAAAGCTATCTACTATATCAAGAGAAAATAGCATTACACTTGGCTGCTTAGAATGAGGTATTATCTTGAATAAAGTTGTATTTTATGTATTTAATTTCATTGTCCATTTTTTAAAATGATCTCATATGCTATGGCTTTGTAAAAATTAATTTACCCTGGGATTTAAATAACCAAATCAATAAATTATGACTTATATAGTCTTAGAATTGCCTAAGTTGACATTGAAGGATTTGTTTTAAGAAATATATTTTTAGTTATAAAACTGATGACATATGACATTATAAATATTGGGTTTATTTTTCCTACATTTTTCAAGCATAAATTATACATTGAAGAACATGCAAATACTAATGAATTTGTAAAAATTGACACAATAAACAGAATTGAAAAGAGATGGTGGTTATTTTTTGAAACAGCAGTGTTTCTAGAATTCTTAAATGATATATCAAACTATGCTAACTGCAGCTTTTCATGTTTAATGATATTTACAATTAAAATAATATTAGTACCGATGTAAGATTAACAGTCATAATTAACTCAGAATAGATTCTTTGAAGTGGTTCAAAGGTCTTTTCATAATAAATTACTAGCCTGTAATCTGCTAATACAAAGTGAGTGTTTTTTTTTAGAACACAAGAAGTACATGTATGTCTCATAAAAAATTTAATTTAAGTTAATGAAATGAGTTTGGATGATCCAGATTCACTATGCCAAATCCAAGATATGCCTCACATTCCAGGGAAAGCTTTATTTAGATGGAGTTGAGGAATCTTTGAGATAACAAGCTTTGCACTGCACTATCTTGAGTGTTAAAGCTGAGTGGTTTTCCCAGAATCTTTATGTCTCTTTTAAACTCTTTTATGAATGAATTGAATTTCTGAAATATAAATAATCCCTTTTGGATTTCTTAACCAGTTTAAAGGATGTTGACTTTAAGAGTTCATAAAATTGAATTTTGTCTATTAAAATGTTATTTCCACTTGGAAGACGAGCTCTGGCAACCTTCTGATTCTGCTCCATCCACTTTCATGCAGTGTGATAAGGAGAGTGAAGTGTGGCTAAATAGGGAGGAGGTCTGGGCAAGGTCATTTCTGCCAGAACACTGGAAACTCCACCATCTCAAGGGTGCTGTAGCACATAAAAGTTGCTACACAAGTATATTTAAAATATATATATAATATACATCATATATACATATATTAAATACTATAAAGAGACTAAGAATGAAGGTTCCTGTAATTGAGGATGTAAAAGATGAAACTGAAGAGGAAAAAGCTGGGGACAAAGAAAATGAAGACGACAAGGTGAGTGAGAAAGCCCCTGCTGAAGAACAGTGTTTATTCTTCTAAGTTGATTATTAGAAAAATGTTTTTTTTTTCTCCCATCAGGTTTTCTTTAAACCTGTTATTGAAGACCTTAGTATGGAATTAGCCAGAAAATGCACCGAACTCATTAGTGATGTAAGTGGCTTAAGTAATTTTTGTCTAATTATGCATTGAATGTGTTGCACTATTATGTTTTACAATCATAGAGTCGGGGAGAAAACCCTGAAATTATATATTAAATCATAATTATTTTCTAGATTATGGAACTAAGTCCAGAAATTTTGCCTGATTTCCCCAAGGTCACCATGTAGAGAATTTCTTTAGGAGCAGGTCTGTAAGTTCTTAATCGAGAATCCTGCCCTTCATGAATTTAACTGTTACTCTGGCATAAAATCATAAATCATTGAACTTCAGAGCATATTCACCTTGAGAACCCCAAAGCCTTTTAAAATGTATATAATGAGTTAACTTGTTTTGGGGGAGTCTGTATCTTAATATGAATGCTTTAAAAAACATTTTGGTGCTCTTTTAAACAATCTGATGAGTACAATATTTCCAAACCAGGAAAATTTCCAAACCCATGTGTACATAACATTTATCTCCAAGTTCAGATTCATGAATTACTGAACTACCTGTTCAGAACTCTGTGAACCAGAATATGATGAATATAAGTGTAAAGGAACTTTTTTGTTGTGACTTTTGGTAACTGGAATCAATTTGCATTATATTTTAAGAAAATTATAAATTATTTTACATATACATTGTAACTAGGTCCTACTGAACCATGATGATTAAGATGATCCTTATTAAGACAGTTGTAAGAGAATTGCTGCTAAGAGGAAAGGCTCTCTTGAAAGAATAGGTGCTTGGGGCTTCATTGAGAAGGGGAAGCAAAATGCTGGCAATTTATGTTGTTAATGAGCAAAATAATCAGACTATTTTACAGATGTTGGTTTTCAAAGGAAATCAGTCCTGGGCAGTGGGCTAGTGTGCTGTTGTGGTTCCTGAAGTCTCCCTGCTGAGTATACCTAACAGTAACCTGGGGAGTATACCTAACAGTAATCCTGTAACGGCTGGGCTCAGTTTCCTCAAGGGCAACATTTATAGTAATGTGATTAAGTAATGGCAGCACATCTGAAATGTTTAGCAAATTTTCTGGAACTTTGTGAGTACTCAACAGATGCTAGCTGTTATCAAAGACTGTATGTATAAATTACTTTTATAGTCACCTAGTCATATTTTGCGTATGATTTTATTTTGCCTTCTAGTTTGTCAGAAAGTGTTGAACAATAGTGGTAATGCTCCCCTTCCCCATATACCTGCCATATGATGTAATTGCATCTTAAATTAGATATTTCTTTCTGCATTACTTAAAAATAGTCATAAGCTACTGTATGTGAATGTTCTCTGTAAATTATAATAATAGTGAAACTGTTATAACAATATAACAGTTAAGATTCATTGAGTGCTATATGCCAGGCAATGCCCCTTGTCAAGTAGGTGCTACTGCTTTTTTAGAGGTGAGGAAAAGAAGGCTCAGAGAGGTTGAATAACTTGCCTGGGTCACAGAGGCAATCAGTGGGGAGTGGGGCTTAAACACAAGTCCTGTCACTTAGCCATTCTACAGTGTCTTTCACCATAGATTTTCATGCAAAGTTTATCTTAGATCTATTATTAATTTTACTAATATTAGTAATGGCAATGCTACCAGAAAAAACCTGAAAATCCATCACTCTGAGATAGTACCTTTTCCAGTGTTGATATGCTTTATTGAAGTGTAATTATGCTTGAACTAACTAAGTATTTAAACCATGGACTAAAGTGGTTACTTTAGTTAGTAATTAATTTTGTTGTACTGTGTTAGTTAGATCATTTAGCAGTGACTTTAAACCAACCATGTGGTGAGGGATGGTGGCCTTTTCCATTTTATACTAGCAAAAGCCATGCTATTTTACTCTCATGTAGGTGAAATCAAACATGTGGGAATAATTTCTGTTTACTAATTTATGTCACATGTCAGAATGTCTGTACTCAGATATTTAGACTGTGTTTAGATTTCTACCTGGGTACATGTTCACATCTTGTTTTTTTTAAATAGAATTCCATCTTTGTTAAGAGACTTGTTCAATTTTTGGAATTTTTATATTTACCAATAAATCTGAACAAGTGTTTTTTTGTCTCTGAAAAATGACGAGAAGCTTGTACAATCATTTTTAAAACCGATTTTAATTTACCTTTATTGAAAGGACTTTATATATTGGAATAAACAAAATTTAGTTTTTTAAAAACTTGGTCAAGTAGGGCCTCCCCTAGTGGCGCAGCAGTTGAGTGCTGGGCTGTGAAGCTGCCCGCAGCCTCTGTAGCGCTGGTTCGATCCCCAGCTGCCTGAGAGGGTCCCACATGGCGCGACAGACCTCTGCCGCAGCACCCGCTGCTCCCCTCAGCAGTGTATTTTGTCAGTCTGCCTGTTCTGCTCCCCGCTCTGGCTCTGGTGAATTTTCTCACCCTCCCGTGCTTCTGACTATACCCAGTGCTTGTATAAAAAAAAAACAAGCCGCCCCCCCCCCAAAAAAAAAAAACAACAACAAAAAATATTTGATCAAGTAACATTAAGTAATGACTTGCTTTTCCATTCTCTTTCATGTTTTTATATAGAGCAGATGAAGTTGAAATTGAAGTTTCTTTACTATATTATGTGCATGATAAGATCATTGTATAAATGTATATCTGAAGTTACATTAATTGCAGAGCTAAAACAGTGAGTTAAGCACACATTATGCTTCTGACAGTGCTATCTGTTTCTGCTCCATGTTTAATTAACTTCCCTGGTCTCAAACTCAATTTAAAGATGAATCTTGGTGTTTTTTTTGTTTTTTTTTTTTGGTAATCCCTCATATCCCAAAGGGGCATCTGAGTGTTTACTCAAGCCCTTTTGTGTTTGGGCTTGAGTTTACAGCTGTGTCACCAAGTGAATTTGGTGCATCTTTTGCCTACCTTTTAGAGTCCTACCTCTTAAAGTTTTAGGAAGCAACTTTACATTCAGTTGATCAGATCACACAGTGAGTCACAGACTTGGGATCTGGAACAAAGTCTGCTTGACTCCCAAGCCTCGGTCACCATGATATTCTTCCTTTCCTGCTGTGTGTCAGGCACACATACGTCATATTCTTTGCTACAGCACGTCATTGCCATAGGTTCTGTGCTCCTGGTGCCTTGTCCAAGACCGTCTGGTTTAGTCAGGAATGGGGACAAAGTTCAGGTGCAGGTCCAGATAAGTCGAGAGCCTGACTGGCAGTCACCCCCTTTCTGCTCCATTTTTTAGAGGAAAAGTGTGGTTTTATGGATTTCTTTCTATGGAGCAGAATTGAAACTTCCCCTTCATCATTCTAATTATCCTTCTTTGACCTCTGGGATCTTCCATGTGTCTTTATCAGGGTGTAATAACCAGAATGTGCACAGAAGTCCAGCTGTGGATGGACTGGGATTAAGAGTTGGTGGGGTGGTGATTCATTTTGCTTTTTTTTTGCATCCTTTGTGATGATATTTAGTTTTCTGCACTTGGGGGCTGCAGAAAGCTCGTAGCTCATCCTCTGTTGCACACCCTTCTCAGCCATTTTCAGTTCTCATTTCTGACTTACAGATGATCGCTTAGGGCCTATCATTTTTTAATAGTTGTTTAAATGATTTTCACCTTGCTGGTAATGAATTTAATCTGCAGTTTTCTGACCTCTGTCACGACCATTTGAGAACCTTCTCAGTTCATCTCTTTAAGTTTGCCATTTCACTCTCCATGAGGTTAGGGTCATCAATAGACTTTGCTGTGTCGCACCCCTGCCAGATAATATGTTAAAATTTTAAATAAGATTGGTCTAGCGATAAGTCCTTGGAGCCCTGACTGTTTAGAATTTTCCATATAAAGAAATGGCTTCACTTTGGGGGGATCAGTGTAAAGTGGGCTTGTATTTTTTTTTCTTTACCTCACCTAGTTCCTACTTGGTGCTTTTCCTGCCCATGTGGTAGGGTTTCCCTCTGCATAACTCATTTCCCAAATTTTTTTAAAGCTTTATTTATTTATACAAGAACTGGGGTACAGGCCAGATGTGCGGGAGGCAGAGAGGATTCACCAGAGACAGAGCAGGGAACAGAACAGGCAGACTGATTCAATGCACTGCTGAGGGGTGTAGTGGGCGAGACAGGAGAAGTCTGCTGCGCCATGTAGGTATCTTCATGGCCAGCAGGGATCGAACTGGCACTGCAGAGGCTGCGGACAGCTTCACAGCGCTGTGCTCAACCCACTGCACCACCCGGGAGGACCTATTTCCCAATCTTGAAGGATACCTGATCCTGTGAGGCTATCTCCTATTTTTCTGTTAACCATGGAGTGCTGTTTATTTCTAATATCCCCGTCCTCTCTTGTTCGTCAATCATCTAATCAGTTCCTTAAATAAATCAAGGCTATTGATGATATTGAGAAGTTGTCCAGAATCACAGACCTAACAGCCTTGTCAGGAGGTCATAACAAATTAGGTTTAAAAGGATGTTTTCTGTATTTCTTCTAAATTAGGCTTGAAGTTTCTCTGAAGAGTAAGTTTGGTCACATCTGCTTGAAACCTCTGACTCAGTGTTTTGTTTCAAACCTTTTTTAGAGTGCTCATTTGCATGGCTGCAAAAAAGAATATCTTCTGGGCAAATGAACATTGTTTGTTGTGGGTAAATCCTTCCAGTGCTGAAAACATCAGCTTCTGTGGTTGCCCCTCCAGAAAAAGCTTGGACTGTGGTAGAAAACCTGGGCGTTCAGCCTTGGCTATGAGCCAAGTGAAGAGACACTAGGTTTACTTTTGATTAGGGATGTTTGTAAGAGGAAATATCAAATATTTCTACATCTGTCATCCACTTTCAGTCATTCAGATTTTGCTAATCTCAAAATAAGAGAAAGAAACTAGGCTAGGTGGAGGAAGCGTCCCTGAATGAATGAATGAATTATAATCGTAGCTAAGATGTGGTGTGATGAATGGCTGAGGTCAATGCAGAGAGTAAATGTTTAGGACATCTTACTGATCATGAAGCCCTCAACTTTGCTCTTCATTTCCTGTTAAAAAATAACTTGGATTGTGTATTGGGTATCAGTGTAGATGACTGCATATAACAGGAAAATGGTCTAGCCCAGAAGTTTAACAAATAAATGTTTGAGTCTTTTTTCCCCCCACATATGAAATCTGGAGGAAGGAGGCCCAGTGTTGGTTCAGTGCTTAGTATTAGTCTGTCAGGCTCTTTCTTTCTTCTCTGTCATCATTAATGTGGTGGCTTACTGCCCAATGATGACATCATTGTTGTTGCATCCCTGTGACTAGGGAAGGAAAAGGATGGAAGGACAAAGTGTCAAAGGGCTGTGCCAGCACAATCTCTTCTTTTATACCAGAAATATCAATAACTCTGCTGGGAAGACTCCACTAATGTCTGAGACCCACAGCTACCTTTGGCTTCTGCAGACCAGTCTTGACCCAGGGGAAGAGAAAACCATCTCTGGTTTAGAGCAACTTGTCCTCTGGGCTTAGGGTTCGAGCCTGGTACTCTCATAAAAACATTTGGGTTCTGCTTGTTGGATAGAAAGGGTTTGGAAAGGTAATTTGTCCAATAGATGGGGCTAACTTAAAGTGGTAAAATATATACTTGGACTGTGTTAGAAAATGACTTCAGTTATTTTTATTTTACCTAAGATTTTGGTAAAATGCATCATCAGTGCAGTTCCCTTTCTTATATCTTTTCCTGTTTTTCTGGTATGGGAAGGCTTCTTACATAATGCTTACATTATGTAAGCATTCTTACATAAAAATTTCAGGTCATTTGCTTACTATTATTCATATTGTTAAATTGTGTGTGAGGGTATACATGTGTGTGTGGTGTGTGTGTTTATGTATCTTTTAAATAAAGACCAAAGGAAGATACGACCACCACTCTTGAGACTGAACTGTTTGCCTGGAGAGCAAAGGAAGTGAATACTTCAGCCTTATCCATCTGCCTGTCCCGAACATTCTGCTCAGGTCAAACTTATCAAGAGACTCAGGGCTTCACTACATACCACTGTTGTGAGGAATGTGAATGTGAGAGGGAGAAGATGGTGGCAAAAGATAAAAATAATGAGCCAAACTTAAGCCTAATGATAGGTTATTTTCCCTCACACTTAATTATATAACAGAGAAGCTTCCCCCCACCCCTTCTTATGATCAAAATAGCCTACTATTTATCATACTGCCATTAACGGTTTAATTACTAGTGACTGAGGAGGGTGATTTGCAAAGACCTAAAATTATGGCTAATCTCTGAGGAGAAAAAAAAGTAATTTAGTGTTCAGATAAGATAAATATGTTCTAATGTTGAATTCATGAATAAGGCAAATGTTTAGTGTGGTAGGCATCTAGATCTTGCTCTGAGTATCACACTGTGAAATGTGGTATTTTGAAATTACTTAGTATGTTCATACTTTCTATGACTTGGTTATACCTCAGGTCATGTCATTTTCCCTCAGTCAGGTTTGCATTTGGTAAAATCTCCATGTAGCATTGTGTATAACATCAATATTAGTCATATCCTTTATGAAACAGGTAGGATATACAATTAAACCTCACTTTTAGATTATAATTAGTGAGACCATGTAATTTATCATGTGAACTGGGACTTTTTAAAATCAGCCTAAGTATTTATAGTCTTGGGCTAATAAATATGCCATTTTTTACAGGGTGATACCACTTTTAACAAGTTACCTACATCCTCTCTACTAGGTGTATATGTTTCATCTGCCCAGTTATCAGATTGGGTGGCAATTAGCATGACATGGGATTGTACTTAAGGTCCTTCTATATAGTTCTTGATTTCTTTTTAGCTCATGTGTCCAAGCAGGGTCTTTCCTCAGAGTGAAAATTACAGCTTCTTCCCAATAGAAAAGGAGTGACTCATTTTACTAGTGATTTCAAGAGATGGGGGAATGAGCAAGCTTTTAGCTAAACATCTCTGGCTTCCTCTTATTCATCTGTCTACCTACAGCAAAGGGTCATTCTGGAATGATCTCCATCGTTTGAGAAGCTTTCTGGACAGATTTTACTCTTGTTGGGGGAGAAGGAGAGGTTGGGGAAGCCTATGGATAGTACAAATTGTGTAATTTGATTTGAGGGGAATTAATAGCAGGAAGCCCAGTGTGACCACAAATTAAGATTCTTCCTCTAATCCAGCATATAGGTAATGATGCTAATAGTAATCTCCGTTTGTTGAATTTCTTCTTAATTGGTTACATCTGTCCTGATGATGTTTAAATTTAGAAGCAGGCAGTTATGTTTCTGTTTGAACAGAGGCTTAACTATTTAGGTCAGTGGCTTAAAAGTAACAATAAGCGACATTTCTGTGAGCAAAGTAGAGAATGTTTAAAAATTACGCTGGGCAAGCTGGTCACAAAGGACCCATAGACATGGTGGTCTAGTGCGCTTGGTCCTTGATGGTAACTGGACCCTTGCTTATCTCTAGAAGAGTCCTTTATAATGCCTTGTCATGTTTACAGCTCTGTGCTGGGTATTGTTTATTTTATTTTGCTTGTTTTGAGCATCATTCTGAATTTATTTTAAAAAGTCTTTCTCAAGTTATTTTATTAAAAAAAAGGAGCAATGTCTTTCTTCATTCTCTCCTAATGTAAATTATTCTCTCTTATAGATCCATTATAAAGAAGAGTATAAAAAGTCTAAAGACAAGTGTACTTTTGTGACTGACACGCCTATGCTAAACCATGTGAAAAATATTGGCGCTTTTATTTCTGAGGTAAGGCTCACAAATTGTAAAATGCCTAGTTTGCATTTTCTTTTTTGATTTATATGGATAAAAATCTGTAGATGAAAGCATTAAAGTTAAGGAAAAATATTTTTGAAAACACAATTGGATGCTGGCAATATTGATAGTTACAATACTATATCATTCTGTGTCAGTTAACTCATGTAAATTGATTTATTTTACTATAATATAATTAGTTATATCTTTATTTTGATTCCAACCCTTTCTTATTTATACAAAATTACTCTTGAAAAGGAGTATTTTTATTCACTAAGTAGAAAGTACTGGCAAAATAGGTAGTTTTAGAGGTTACCTTATTTTATTTCCTAACAGCCTAATTGTAAATAAATTATTGAATGTTAGTCTGAAAATAAGTAAAATTACCAGCTGATTCCATAAAATAATGGTGTCTTTGGTAAGTGATAGTTATCAATTGAATTGTTTTTGAGTAGGATCAGTTCAACAGTTATACCTATTATGAAATCGCAGATTGAAAATGTACTACATTTATTCTTCAGGCTGAAAAATCATATAGTATCTTTCTGGGAGCATTTAGAGCCACAGTTTATGTTGTATCATGAAGCACAAACTTAACAGTGATTTCTGGGGTGAAGCATTTTTGTATTCTGTGAACTGATCATGTGGAAGAGATTAAGCATGACTAGAATAGTGTTGTAAATGACTGACCTCTAGTGTTTCATAAATTATGTTGGAAAAGAGCAATGTGATATTCTCAGGATTATTTCTGCTAAAATGGAAATATTTTGAGGAAAGTCAGTGAATTTTCCTTTTTTAAATACCGAACTTCAGAATGGTGGGAACCTAAGGCTTACACAGAATATACGCTTCATAAATCAATGCTCCAATTGAGCTTTGAGTGGAGTAATACCAGGGACTTGTCAACATAGTGTGGAAAAAACGTGATTTTGTTTATTTGTGTTAACTGTTACTTCTCTTGTGCAGGGAAATTCTTTGTGTTCTTAATTATTAATTGATTCTTTTTCCTGAAGGAATTAACTGCAGAACAAAAAAATAAAAGAAAAGAAAAAGGAAGTGGGCAGTCTATTGTGTTACTCTGAACCTAATCTTCCAGAGAGGAAATGGTGAATGAGCATTTCTCTTAATGAGTAATGATCTTTTAGAGACAGTACAGATTGGAGGCGGGAAGGCAGAGAGACAGCAAAAGGGGAAAAAAAGTTAAAAGCACCCCCACCCTCATCATGGGAAAAGGAAGGCGGTTAAGAAGACTTGAATAAAGGAAAATTGTCCTTTGCGTTCAGGTTCTAGACAATAAATTCTAGCAATTTGTATTTTCTGTAGCAACTAAAATGTCTCGTTCTTAGGTTTGTCTTTACTGAGCAGACATATGAAAGTGTCAACAGACACAAATAGGTTTACTTTTAGAAATGGACATGGATTTAAATAACAGTAGTCATTGCTTTCACATGTCTCATTTCTCTATATAATAAATTGGATTGTTTTTTCTTCCCAATGTGTTCATCAGGTACAGTACCTAAGACTGAAATGGCCTTCAGGCTTTTTTAGTTCATTCTGTTTCTGAAGAAAGTTTTTTTTTTATTATTCTCTTTCAATAGTTACAGAAAAAAAAAAAAAGAATGTTTATTTTTTCTCTTTTCTTCTCCCTCTCCTCCCAGGCAAAGTACAAAGGAACCACTAAGGCGAATCTCTCCAATTCTCTTTATAAGCAGATGCCAGCCACAATTGACAGTGTCTTTGCAAAAGAAGTCACACAGCTTCAGAGTGAGGTGTGGTTTTCCTAAATTGCCATATAATTATGTATTTGAAGCATGCAACCTAATATAAACTATTTGACTTAAAAAAAAGTAGTTGTTTATCTTGGGTATTAAATACAAAATGAAAGATGGGAGGCACTGATTGGTGAGCTGCCAGAGGTCACTGGTGCAGTTGCAGAAAATAAAAGAGATGCAAATTTCTGTTGGTCACGTGACAATTTCTCTAAGTGTGACTGACAGCTGTTAATAGGACAAATTTTAATCTTATTTAGACAGGTTATGTAGATTAAAATATTATAGTAAATATCAATCTAGTGTCTGATTTAATGTGTGATACTCTAAGTGGAGAGCGTTCCCATAGTCTATTAAAAGTCACATAAAGGTCCATGGTTAAATTCAGGATCCACAGATCTGTGCTCCATCACTTAGACAGGTGGCAACTGAAGTTCCTTTTTTATGAATCCTGTTTTTAATTTAGAACATGCCACGCTATCAAAGGAACCTCTATCAGGTGGAAGTGACACTTTTGTGATTGCGAGTTGCAGATAAACTTAAGAACTGTCATCATGTGAACTCATTTTGAATCTAGAAGAGTTTAGGAGTAATTTTCCCTTTATAGTACATCAACACATAAGGAATACTTAATGGGTTTAATTTCTTGTATTTCTTAAAATAGAATTTCAAAATAGAATATATCATCTTGTTGTTTTATTTTCTTCACAGCACTATCTGATTTTTTAAAAACTATATGAATTTGACTTGGCTTCCTAAGTAACATGAGAGCAGGGACCTCATCTGCTTTGTTCCCTGCTCAACCCCTGTGCTTAGAACAGTCCTGACACACAGGACATGGTCAATAAATACTTGTCAAGTGATTTTTGTTGAATATGTTCATTTCCTTTCAAAGGAACTATTTCCTTTTATGTAACTTATATTCTTCATGCTATATTTTAGGTTAATAATAATAGTAAACAGGAATTCTTCCTGCTAACGTGTCAGGTGCCTTTCCTTGATTTCACATGTATTTATATGATTTCATGAAATCCTGAAAACCACTCCATGAGATATTTCCTATTTTGGAGAGGTGGAAATGGAAGCATAGAGAGGTTCAGTGTGCCCAAGGTCACACAGCCAATAAATGGCAGAGCTAGCTCATGGATAGTCTGGCTCCAACATCTGAGATTTTTACCCTTCTTTTTTTTCTGCCCTTCTTTTTTCTTACTAAGCAAGTTTGCTCCTTGCAGTTATGGCTACACCTCAGTTCTTTTTCCTTTTTTAGGTGAGAGGCATGGGGTAGGGGTGTTGTGTGAGAGGATTCACCAGAGACAGAGTGGGGAACATAACAGGAAGAGCTCCTGAAATACACTGCTGAGGGGAGCAGCGGGCGAGACAGGAGAGGTCTGCTGTGCCATGTGGGTTGCTCCCTGGCCAGGGATCGAAGGCAGGCCAGGCTGCTCTGGCTAGCAATAGCTTGATAGTGCTGAGACTTTAACCCCTGCGCCACCAGAGAGACCCCAATACCCAGTTCACGTATGCATAAATAAATAAAAAGAAATCTTTAAAAAATTAACTCTTAAAAAAAAGAATATTATAGGAAAAAATGCCTTAAAAAAAAAGAGAGAGATTTTAGGAGGTTATTTTATTAGATATGCCCCCATTAAAAATTTCAAAAGCAAAGATCACAAAGACATTTTCTGGAAATGAATGAACTATATTTTGAAGTGGTGAGATCTTACCAGGTCTATTTCAGGCAGAGGTCAAATAAATAATCCCTTATCACCAAAGTAATAAAGGCTATTTAAACATCTGATTGAGGAAATTTATGAGAGCCTGTGCTTTTTATCTATTGTAGCCACAGGGTCCTGCTTCATGAGCTTTGGATGTGTTATGCTATGGGATTGGAAATACATTTACCTATATAGTAGTTATAAAGTATACTATAATTTGGGAATGTATATAGCTCTCAAATATATGAAATATAAAAATATACTATGCAACCAGATATATAAAATACATGTATGTGTTAATTAAAATAGGCACATTTTGTGTGTGTGTGTGTGTGTGTGTGTATGTAAAGTATAGAAGCTACTGCAAGTGCCCTCCACTAGTTAGGTATCCAGGGTTAAGGCAACCTTAATTCACAAGGTATGAAGACAATAGTATTAATCTAGGAAAATTCCATACAATAATGACAAGTTCTAAGAATTCAAATTTGTCAGAAATTTATTAGCTTGACATAATTTTCCATTAGCTTCTTTAAGGATGAGAATTAATATGATAAATTGAAGTTCAGCTGCCTCCAATTTGATGTAATCTTAATTCTAAAATGGTACTTAGTAGCAGCTATAAATGATATGACTATTTTAATGCTGCAAGTAGAAAATTACATAGCCTTTTTAAGAAAGAGTGCTTTTTAAAATTGTGCTTGATGACTCACATTTCTATGATAATCCACAAATTATCAGCTGCATTGGTTACATTTATATAGTCACAAGTACAATAGTCTAAAATACAAAATTAACCAGTCATCCAGCAAAAGAGAGATAGGTATAAGTTAGCACTTTTTATTTAAGAAGAGAGAACAAATCTCATAGAAGTTCTTAGCTTAATAGACTTGGCCACCCATGAAACTCCATCCCCCTCCCCCCAGAGATATAATATGAAATCTAATAGAACTGAGAAAATGGACTTTCTCAATCCAAATGGAAGTTCTTAATGGGTTTCCAGTTTAACATAATTAATTAGCGAAAATGTAAAGATATGTTCTTCAGAATTAGATATCCTGATGGATTCAATTGATGGACAGACTCTAATGAGATGAATTACCCCTGGAATAACATAAGGTGCTAATAGGGAGCCCTCATAATCAACCAGATACACAGGATTGGATGTGGAAACAGGGCTTGGCAGGACGAAACCGACTCAGGGCACTAGTTGAGACCAAGGCCACATAGTCATCAAAAGGAAAATGTGACTTCTGTATACATTAATAGCATCTAGCACATGAGAGATGAAAACCTGGATTAAATTGAACAATTCCAATTAGGATAGGTCAGACTCTATCTGGAACACCATGTACATTTTAGAAGAGATGGATTTATTGGAGCTTGCACTGAGGAGAGACCCTGTAGGGTCTACAGGGGTTTGGTGCATTCACCCATTCATTCTGGAGGAATGAATGTAGTTGACATCTGTGTTCCTACATTTGAAGTTCTGTCATATGAATTAGACTTTTTCTATATGGCCAAATAGACGCAGCTATGTGGGAGATTTGGGTTTTATTAAAGGAAAAATTTTGCATCAGAACTTTCATGTTTTAGATCCTGTGGTGCCCCAAGGTGACTTCTCTTTCAGTAAAGTTTTCAAGTAAAACTCAGCGGGGAATTAGAAAAGGGTTTTAAACATTGATAGTTGTAAGACATGGCTTTAAAAATAAGATTTGAGGATTTCATTTTTAAAAATTGGTTTTGTAAGTATCACTTTAATCCTTTAGATGGGTATATTACCTGTTAAGTGGGTGGCTCATTCTGTTTATTAAAGCCTGTGAGGAGTTTAAATTCATGAGCATGTTTAATAAATTCATTCGTTCACTAAACATTTATTACGTTTTTACTCGGTGTCATTCACTGTAATATGCACAGGATGTTAAAAGATGTATTAGATACAGACATAGCTCTCAATGAACTCATTTTGGTAAAAAAGTTTTTCTTTAAATTTACCTATTTTTTTTCCACTGAAAATTAGATCTTATTTTGTTTTTGGTGAACACTGTTCTGTTTTTCTTTGTTGACTTTATTCTCTTGTATCAGGTTATTCCAACTCCATTTAAATTTTTAGTATACATCTAAAGTAATTTTAAAATACTTAATTTATTAGGGTTTTATTCTCATTCATTCAGTGGATGTTTTAGTTATCCATTCATTGAGAAATATTTATTGATGCTTACTTTATGCTAGGTATCATTCTGAATTCTAAGCATTCAGTGAACTGGACAGTTATATACTAGTAAGGCAAAACAAATTAATTCCGGAAAATTTAAACAAAGTATTAAGAACTATGAAGGAAATAAATAGAATGATGGAATAGACTGAAAGTTAGGAGATAAGTTATTTGCTGTCTTCTGGATCTTCTTTGATTTCCAACTTATTGTTGAGTTTGGTTACTTCAACTTTTAAAATAATCATCCTGACACTTTTTCTCCAAACCAGTAGGGAACAAACTTAGTGTGGTCCACATAAAGCATGGCTCTGGTATGGTGCTCGATTTCCCAGCAGAGAATAGGTCTTGGCGTGGCTGAGAATTTTAGCCTTCATGTTGAATTTTCCCAAAGGTTGGAACATTCCTTAAGTTTATATGATATAATATTATATTAGATTATGTTATATTACAGTTGTGCCTACATAAAATTATAACAATTAATTAAAAAAGAGCAATATATTTTTGAATATAAGCTCTTTTCCTCCACAGTTACTTACCCAAGATTTTTTAATATATTTTATTTTATATATATTTTACATCGTTCTTCTTCTTCTTTTTTTTTTTACAATGTATGCTTTCTCATCTTCACTTACCCAAGATTTAAACCTTGAACAAAAATGACCCTAAAAACTCTTGGATGTGGGAGATTTCCCAAAACGGTAGCAAAGATTAAGCTAGATGAATACAAGTGAGTGTTTCAGTATGTGGTCAGGGATATTTGACATAAATGACAAAGAGTTAGAATTAGGAGTCTAAACTGAAGCAGTAATTTTAAGCATTGTTTATATTATCTTGTTATAGAGGTTTCAGAAAATTTGGCTGAGGGTGGTAGTGTCAAATATGCAAAATACTAGCAAGACACTGAAATTTAATATGTAGGAATTCAATTTACTTCTAACTGAAACTAACAATTATCTATCTTTCCTAAGGTTGCCTACAAGCAGAAACATGATGCTGCAAAAGGATTTTCAGATTATGCCCATATGAAGGAGCCACCCGAGGTCAGGCATGCCATGGAGGTCAATAAACACCAGAGCAATGTAAGGAAGCCACTGCTTACTGTTTTCTGGAAGATTGTGGTTAACCTACATCAGGGCTAATGGAGATGTTGTTGAAATTTAAAATCAAAAAGGACTTTACATTTCTCTTAATCCCTCAGTGTTCAGACAGAAGTACAGCTGAATTATTCTGTCAACAGTTATTAAAACCTTGTAGAATGCCTTTAAAATATCAGGCACTTGCAGACATTGGGAATTCTGCTCTGAGCAAGATAAATATAGATCATTTTGGCCTGTTGGATTGTTAGCATTTCCTAGAGCTTCTTTGCCCTGATGGTGAAGCTGCCAGGGTTTCCAGTCTAAAATTGCAGAAGAATGAAGAGAAAGAGTATTGGGAATCAATGACCTAGGGAAGAATCCTTCACAAATGCTATTGTTTTGTTTTATTTTTTCTTGTGGAGGAATACTTGTGAAAAGTAAATTATTTAGACCCATGGGGAATAAGAATGCAATAGATGTCTAATAACTTTTAAAGGCAGCAGCCAAGAAAAAGGAAGCTAGCTGGCCAGAAATGAATTTCTGGTACATCAAAACTTGTATGTATTTTCTCAGTTTGCCTGGTGACCTGGCGGAACAATTTCCCCTGAAATTGGAGGGAAAGCTTATTTGTCTCCCCATCATGAATGTACTGTTCTCTAGGAGCAATGTGGGGACAGTCTGTCATCTTCTTTATGGGTTAGAGTTACTTAAGATAGTGTCTGCCCAACTAGGGTCAAAAAACATCCTTTCTTTGAAAAGTACCTAACACATCTTTGTGATCTTGTAAGGAGTCTGTCCTGCCACTAAGTTCTCTTACTGAATGGAGCCTTGCTGCTCTGAATCCCCAGCACCCCAACTGTGCAGTGATTTTTTTTTTTTTTTGCAGGAGTCAATGGTGATCTAATATTAAATTGCAGTAGGTCAATGCTTAAATAAAAACGGAGTGAGATTTCATGTTTTAATCCAAATCTATAAACATGTGCCAGTACCAAAGCTCTTCTCCTAGATGGTTTATGATGGATAAGCAATGAAGAAGCTACATGTCTTTTAATTACCAGCAAGGTCATTTTAAAGGGATGCTTTGTAAGAACTGTTTGCCTACAGAATGACTATAATAATCATAATAACTCTCACTTAGTGAGCTCTGTCATGTACCAGGAACTGTGCCAAGACTTTGATCATTTCCAATTATTGCAGAATCCCTGCACTGATTCCTGTTTTGTAGAGGAAGAAAATGGGACTAAAGAATCAAACTCCCAAGACCACCTTTTTCTTTTACGCCCTCCTGCCTCCCCCTTAAAGGTCACTGTTTGTTTGTCAGTGGCAGAAAGTAAGTTATCATCAGAATTCAGATAAATGGGTTCAGTGCACTCAGGAAAGAAATACTCAGACACCTGAACTTCCACAGCTTCAATGCCCCAAACCCTGATTTCCTATACACACTGTGGGTTGGAAGGTAGTGGTGTTGGTTTGGGGAGGGAGCTGGCATTACATTGATTCTCAGGAGGCTCTTTCTGACTCTGTGATTCAATGAAATTCAAATATGGAAGTTCCTTATCATAGTACTGGGGTTATTATTTTAACTCTGCCTTTTCTTTTAAAAGGTCTTTGATTGAGGGATTGAGGGAATAGAGTATAAAGCCCTTTTCTCCTCCATTCAATACTGTGTACTTATGGGAAAAGGATGTATTTACTTACACTCCTCTGCCTGCTCTGCTCAACCTTTACATGCAAAGTTTGTACATATAATAGGATTTAGAAAGTGTTTAAGACTATTTACTCAGATTTAAAGAGAGAATGATATTTGTATTCTACCTAGGAAGTAGTTGATATTCCTCTAGAGTCAGGGCCCTTAGAATAATACATTTGTTGTCCCTACGATATGAAATTTAAACGTAGATCTTGAAAGCTACAAGAAAAGCAAATCTCTTCATTCAGCAGGTGAGTTTACAGCATTTCCAATGAAAAATAAAAACTGTCTCATAAAACTTCAGTCCAGTGAAACTTACTTGCAGAGAATTTGCTTGTAGAATTACCCTTTCCTAATGTGGAATGTCACTTTGCACTATGCCTACCTTAATTTACTTTAAAATAAAATGTGTTGTGACATGTGAATCTGATTTTCCTAGAAACAATGCAAATCAGCCTCTTTGCTTACCTTTTCATGTTTCCATCAAAATCATGCCAGTTCTTGGGCCTCCCCTTGTGGTACAGGTGATTGAGCGCAGTGCTGTGAAGCTGTCCGCAGTCTTTGCAGCGCCGGTTCAATCCCAGCCGGCCAGCGAGGGTCCCATATGGCGGGGCAGACCTCTCGTGTCTTGCCCACGGCTCCTCTCAGCCATGTATTTCGTCATTCTGCCTGTTCTGCTCCCTGCTCTGGCTCTGGTGAATTCTCTCACCCTCCTGCGCTTCTGATTGTACCCAGTGCTTGTATAAATAAATAAGTAAATCTTTAAAAAAAAATCATGTCAGTTCTTAGTATCCGCTAGAAAACCAAGAAACTGGGACAATTACAGTTGAAAACTTAATTTTCTGTTGCCATTGTGGCCAGACCTTTTATAATTATACATTCATCAGTGGACGCAAGGGAGTGGTTTTTCTTTTGGAACTGTCTCTCTCTTCTACCTTTAGTGCTGTGAATAAGCAGAACAAAATGGGGGAGAAATTTCATTGTGACTGGGAAACTGATTTTTTTCCCTGTGAGTAACTGAGAGTTCCAGTTTCGGAGAAGAATAATTCTAGGCATAGTAGCCTCTTCTGCCACCCCAAAATTATGATCATAAAAAAGAAGAAATTATTTCTTAGGATTTCCTCCACTGTAGTATATAATAGGAAAGGGATTCTGAGTTGGACCTAGGTTAAAATGGTCACATTGCCACATGTTGCGTGGATGACTTAGGGCCTGTTACTTCAGGTCTCCAAACCCCCATTTTCTCATCTGTAAAATTGGATAATGATACCCGCCTCACAGAACTCCCACGTGTTAAATGAGGTGATAGATGTAAAGGGCTCTGTAGAAGAACCACGCCAAAAATCCTCACCCTATTTGATCCTCCTCCTGTTTAAAATGGTGATTTCAGAGTTAAGTGTGATTTTTCAAGTTCATTTGAAAGAATGAAGAGTTTATTTATTTTTATTTTATTTTATTTTATTTTTTAAAAAGATTTATTTATTTATTTATACATGCACTGGGTACGGTCAGAAGCGCAGGAGGGTGAGAGAATTCACCAGAGCCAGAGCGGGGAGCAGAACAGGCAGACTGATGAAGTACACTGCTGAGGGGAGCAGTGGGCATGGCAGAGGAGGTCTGTGCGCCATGTGGGACCCTTGCTGGCAGCCGGGGATTGAACCGGTGCTGCAGAGGCTGCGGGCAGCTTCGCAGGCCAGCGGTCTACCGCTGCGCCACTGTGGAGGCCCCCAGAAGGAAGAGCTTAGATTTACGAAAGGGTCAAATCAATCTAAAATTTACATTAAACATTTAGGTCAGAAGGGCATATTCAAAGGGTTCCTGAACCCATACAACTACCTAACTTCTTGTTGATACTATAATCAAAAACTGATTAGAAACGGTCTAAGTCCTTTTGTATCTTAAGGGATATACCCCTGCCAAATTTCTCTAATGTACTTAGAGAAACTGGAGATATTCTATCCTGTTACTTTTCCCTAAAGATGGGGTTAGAATAAAAACCCTAGTAACATTATTAGTTCTCATCAGTCTTATCAGAGACATGAAATTCAATCGCTCTAAAGTAAGTCAAACAAATTTTAAGCTGTCATTTTATTTTTCGTAAGTAATACGGTCTGTATAGACTTGTGGTGAAATTGGAGTGGTAAACTTTTCCAACATGCCATATTGGTAATCAGTTCAATGTGTATTAGAAAGACATATTCGGCAGGGAAACAAGAAACTTAATGTTCTTTTCAAGAATGATATATATACTTTCTAACATTAATAAAGACTTATACATAGAGAGAATTTCTATTCCATCAGAAAGTGAAAAAGTCTAAAGATAAATCAGTAAAATGATACTAGAGAAACATTTGTGACTCTATGTGGTTCCCCAATACGACTTACAATAACAGTGTCTTAGGATTTAATATTAAAATGGATATATTAGTATTCTGTTCATCTCTGAGAATAGTTAGCTATAGCTATTCTGCCTTCTTCACAATATCATGGTGGTGATAAAAGGTAATTAAGAAAAAGAAAACTTCTATCAACTGTAAAAAGCTTCATAAACTGACAATAATGATAAACTTTCTAGATATAGCTCCATATTTTACTACATCTTTTAGAAGATTGAAAACTTTTCTGTTTTTTGATATGGGTACACAGATCCTGCATTTACTTATATTTCAAATGCCTGTAGCCTCATAAAATTAACTTATAATTAAATATTCTAGTAGTTTTTTACATGTATTGTGCCAAACAAAAATAAGTCTCAGTAAAATGGAATTGTCAGGCCATAGGCCTATTTGATGATACCTGGAGGGCTCCTCTACTGTGAGAATCTGTGATGGCTGCCCAAGGAATTCTTGAGAATGACTGAAGTGGTGTTTCAAAATTATAACCAAATATAGGTTACAGTATTCACTTCTGATCCATAAGCTTAAAAAGATAGGCACTCTGGTTTCTTCTTCCCAAGAATCCTTTTAATCTTCACCTGTGTAGCCAAGGGAAGGAATAGTACTGGGCCAATTGGGTCTGATTTCTGTCTTCCTCTGTCCTTACTCCCAAGGGGTTTCCATCCTGGTAGCCATCCCTCGGTTCTCAACCTTGGCATCTCCCAGTGCTTGAATTTCACTGTAAGGACAGTCCTAGTAGAGGTTTTGCTTTCCTCTAATTATACTCATCTATTGTGTTTTAAACCACTATTGTCTGAATATGAAGAGCTTGCTGCAGAGTCACTGGCAATCCATTGCCTACCTATCTGGCTGTAGCTAGAGAATAAAGAATCTAGGCCTTTCACTTCCATTTTCAAAGTCTGAGTTCTTATTAACAAAGCCTCGCCTATGAAGATACAAGGACAGGGATTCTGGATACTGCTTCCAGACTTGGGAGTGAGTGTGTATAGATGGAGGTCAAATGAGTCAGAATTCTAGCACAGAAGGAAAGGGGATGTAGAGTTAATGATCAAAGTGTGCAAAGAGTTTAGAATAGTGTCTGGCCCATGGGATGCTATATGTACACAGAAAGTCCTACAAAAGATAGGGGCCAATGAAACAGAAGTAGAAAAATTATAAGGAGAGAGTAAGTTAAGATTGAAAGACAATATAATGGGATGAAAATACAAGCTGGGGGGGTAGAGGGAAGTCTTTGAAGAAATTCAAAGGCAGATTTTGATGGAATTAAAATCTTTAATTGAAGGCGATAAAGGACAGACTTAACACTGCAGAAAAAAATTAAGTGGGAGCTGATTTAGTGAGGAGTTTCTCACTAGAATGGGAGAAAGCCACCTTAAGTTAACCCTAGTAAAAAGGTGACAGTTTATAGTTTACATAACTGGAGAATTTGAGTTACCTTCAGGTGTAACTGGATCCAGCTTCACAGTGTCACCTAGAATCTTCCTCACTTTCCATCACCTGGCTTCTATATGACTTCACGTGCAGAGAAACTCTGCCGGGTGGTCTCAAGATAACAGCTGTATTTCCAAAATTAAATCATCCTACAGCAGCTGATCCCAGAGGCTATGACTAAAAATCCTTGTGCTCATAGATTTGAGAAATACATGAATGAATCAGTGAATGTTATGTACCTGGTACTACATAATAAATGGTCTAAAATGGAGAATACTATTGTTATTATGATTGTTATAATTATTATCTTCCTGTCTTCCATCTCCTTTCTCTTTTTCCTCTTCTCTCCTCTTCTCCCTACTCCTTCTTCATTCTCTGTTATGTTCTGAGGATACAGTAGAGAACAAAACAGTAAATAAAATGGGGTAAAATCAATCAGTGATTCTCAAGCTTGTGCCTTTCCTGGTTGATGGTTTCCAAGAACCTGTTTCTTCTCTTTTCTTATTCAAAACTTTATCCTCTAGAACACCTTAATATCAAGAGAAGCCTGAAGAATGCAAGCCAATTCACTATCCAAAGACATTTAGAGATTGAATTTATTAAAACTTGAAATATGTATTTTTATATATAATTACATAAAATATTAATGTTCTTTGACCTTCTGCTGACCAACCTCTCTTCTGCGGCATAACATTTGAATTCTTCCTTCATTCAGACAGACTTCAGAATGGAGCTGATAGCTATTGTAGACATTGGAGACACAGATGAGATTCCCTCAAACCTATGTAATGGATTAGATAGCCAAAGAAGACCAGTTTACTTAGGCAGCCCTTTTGTTATCCAACCTATGTTCAGCTCTCCTTACAGGAGTTTGCTGCTGTAAATATCCCTCAGTGTAAGCCCCTCCTGATCCTGTGGAATATCCTTCAGCCAAGATATTCTGAAAGATCTGACCAGGCTCCTTTGCTTTTCTCCTGTGTGGCTCTGTGGTATCCGCTTGTTTGAATTTGCAGCTCATGTCAATCTTAATATTTGTTTTGAGTCACATATGCTGGCCTCTAATTTGCAATTTACATGGATGATGGGGCCCTATTCAGAGTCCTGCTCTGCCGCCTTTGTGCTGTTCACCTCTCTTCACGCAGTCATTAGGCTGAACAGCATATAATTAGGTAACCCATGGAAAGCTCAGATTTCTGAAAGGTTGCAGCTCTTTTCAAAAAGTAAGGGTTTCCATTTTTACCCTTATTCTTTTCTAAACAAAAAGACATTTACCCCCTATGGTTTTCATATGAATGTAGTAACCTAGAAACAGTTAGTCTTGTAGGTGGGTAATAATTTTAGTTTGTTTTCACCTGAGAGTCAGTTTTTGTTTACACAGCTTGTGTTTAACTCAGTGTAGACTGAGGGTGATTGGCCATCGCTTGTGGATGAATGTGTGGCTGTTTGAAACCAGTGAAATTAATTTATTTTCAATCCCTAAAGATATAAAATTCACCCAACAAAATAATTCAGTTTTCCGTTTATTTTTATGTTTTTTCTTAACTACCTGTATTCACAAAGCCTACCTGAAATTACTTGTCAAGGTAGAGCCTATGAAAATAGGAATACTGAATAAAACAGATGTTCTTGCTGAAATTATGCTAATTGTATTTAAACTGTGTTCACTTGTCAGACAGGTTCATGATTAAAACATAGTTTAAGAAAATAGTCTCAGTTGGTAAGGCAAATGCTAGTGCTTAAAAGAATAAATAGAAATGTATGTTAATGTTTCATTGACATAAAATAATATGGTTAGGCAACCTATTGAAGTATTAATGTGTTATCATTTCTTACTCTTGATATTTTTTTTTAAAGAAGAAAGTACAAGTATTTTTTAACTTTGCAAGGTTGGAAGGACAGTAGCAAGATATATTGATGCTATCTAGTATAGTCATACCAGTCAATTGGGGAATTCATTAAAAGGTAGACTCTTGGATCCCATTGACTAAAATTTTGTTACTGAGGGTGGGGGATGGATCCCAAGAATCTAAATTTTTAATAAATATCCAAGATGATGCTATTGCGTAAGGTTTTTAGGAATAATTGTTTTGTACAAAATGTAATTAATAGTGCACTTTGTATAGGTGTCCAGTTGTACATTTCTGTGTCCTATGTTTCTCTGCCTTGTAAATATTTTAACTGACTGTTTTATTGCATCCTTTGTATTATAACTCTAATAGAATATAATGTAATGGGTAAGTGGACCATTCTCTGATGATATTGCCAAAAGAACTACATCTGGCAAATAGTTCAGTATCCCTTCAGTTCATGATTGATCTTGAGAAACAGAAAAGTGACAGACTAGTGAGATATTGTTCATCAGACATTATACCAGTTTACTTCTGTTCTCTTCTCCTATTTGCAAGTTTAATTCATCTAAATGAACAAGGTCATCTGAAACATATTTCAAAATAAATATATGTGTGTATACGTATATACACATATATACATACACACACCATGTATATGTGTATATATACACATATGTATATGTGTGTGTAGACACACACCATATATATATACACATATGTGTATACACACACACACTACGCTATGGTATGATTGTATCTATTGTACATTGAGAGGATGAATATTCCTTAATATAATTGCTTTTATTTTTGGAGGGCTGAGTTATTAGAATGATATTTCCTAGATAATGAAACTATCAATGCTCATGACTTAGGCCTCCTAGACATGGGCGTTTTAAGAGTCATCAGAAAAAAGGGAGAGAAAGTTTGGTTGAAAGGATGAAAGCTAGAGCTGCAGAGCTTCCCACCCTTATCCTAGAAAGTGATTTTCCATTTTTGTATGCATCTGGCGGGGGGTGGGGGGGTGGAGGGGTGGTCTGTGTAATGAGCAAGTAAAAGACAGTGATGAACATCTTCTGTTCTGTATGTGAATTTGCACACATACTTACATACAATGATGTGCTTATTAGGGTGGTAGATAAAATATTCAACCAAATAAATGCTGTACATAAAAAAATTGAAAAAAAAAAAGCAACTTATGGTCAGCAGGGGCTCTAAGATGGTATGGCAAAGGTAAATAGTGTTATGGATATCAAGATAGTAGCTAAAAGAAATCACTAATTTTTTCAATAAAACTGTCTCTTTCTTCAGATTTCTTACAGAAGAGATGTACAGGACACCCATGTGTATAATGCAGAGCTTGACAGACCAGACATCAAGATGGCAACACAGATCTCCAAGATAATAAGCAATGTAATCTCTCTTTTTTGAGCAGACATAATTTCTTATTTTGCAGGAGACAAAGCATGGGTTGGCACTTTGCTGGTTAATGAGTAAAAGTAATCAATCTGAACTAACGACATCTCGTTTTTTTCTTATTTGCATTATACATTTGACTACATAAATTACTTGGGTCTATGCAGACATTGCTCAAGCTTGACCTGACAATGGTCAGTGTTACCGTTCTTTTAGAGAAATCAATGCTGCTGTCTATAATGTCATATTCAAATATCTCAGCCTAAAAGTGAAGGTTGTCAGTCAACTGGTCCATATTATAGCTTATCTTCCTCAACAAAACCAGAAAAACTATATGTATGTCAAATGCAAAGTCTCAATTATCCAAAAGTTTCCCCTATATATTTTTTTACTACTTAGCCATAAACACAGTGATGATGATGACTGGATATATAGACTCAAAATTTGTAATGACTTTACTGCAAAAACAGTTGAGTTTATTTAAATATACCCACTATAAAATCAATTCCTGCTTTAACATTCAGCATTTATTATTTGGTGAGCTATAGGAATATTTTTTATGGAATCTGAGTTTATTATATTTTATTTTGGCTAATGTCAATGTAAATGTCATTATATTAGATAGTAGAAATATATAACATTCTGTTACATATTTATTTTAGGCAGAATACAAGAAAGGACAAGGTGTCATGAATAAAGAGCCTGCTGTAATTGGAAGACCAGATTTTGAACATGCTGTGGAAGCTTCAAAACTTTCTAGTCAAGTAAGACTCTTGTGAATATTCCAGAATGATTTTATTCAAAGATTTTGTTTCTTAGCAGCACAGAAAATATTTCATTTTAGATAGTATCATTAGTTGTAAGACTATTCAAAGATGTTTCTGAAACCATTTCAGATAGGACTGCAATAATTATAAATTCCAGTGAAAGAAAAAATAAGTCCAATTTTAAGCTTGAAACTGTTTTCTCTCCCAGCTCAAATCCTAACCTCTTTCAATGAATTTAGTCATGTTCAAGTTTTCCAAAATTTCTAGAATCTAGAAATAGTCATACCAAATAATTACATTTCTGTTGATTTACATACATGTATACATATTTTTTATGAGTAATAAAAATGTTAATTTTTCAATTTCATTTAATAAAAATGGTGATGAAGATGAAGACAATTGAAATCTTATTGAAGAATATACATCAAAGATCTGAAAACGTATTAAAGACATGCCACATTTTTGACTGAAAGTCTCAACAATTCTCCCAAAATTAATATATAAATGTCATGCAATTTCAATTAGAATTCAATACAGTTGCTCCCCCTATATGAATAGATGATCTCCACATTTAAATGGAAAGGAAATGCCTGAGAATAGCTTTTAAAAATATGAAAATGAAGACCAGTGAAGGCAAACTTAAGTCATAAGTTCCCATAACATAATACAAAACCACTGGAATTAAATCAATATGGGATTGGTATAGAAAAAGATAAAATAATCAGTAGGATAGACTGGGGAATCCTGAAATAGATTCCAATCTGTATAAGAATTTAATTTATGATAAAAGTATTGGTTCAGGTCAGTGGGAAAAAGTTGTATTAGTTAAAAATGGTGCTGACATAACTGGTCATCCATCAGGGTAAAAATAAAATTGGACCTGAATCTTAAACCATATACAAAATGAATTCCAGATGGATTAAAGATGTGAATGTAAACAATAGAATAATTTCAAAATCTTGAAAGAAAATCCAGGAGACTATATATACTACATAGGGATAACAGAATTGTTCTTAAATAAGACTGGACATCCAGAAGCTGTAAAAGAATGCCTAGAAAAACTAGAATATATGAAAATTTAAAACTCTTACAATGCAAAAAGAAAACATTTGTAAAGTCAACAATGATAACAAACAATAATATTTATACATTTATAGTGTTTTTAACTTTGAAAATATACATTCATTTATTTGAAAAATGCTTAATTGAATTATGTTACAAAATGGAGAGGTATGAATAAGAAAAACTATAAAATCTAAGACCACAAAATAATATCTGAACAAATGAAAAGACCAATTATGCTCTTGGGGCAGGTTTCTCAATATTCAATGTCATGAAAATGTTAATTCTTCTAAAATTAAAATTAAAATTCCATGCAATTCCAATTATAATCTAATAGGTTCAAACATTTTTTGGAAAAAATTAAATATTTGAATATGTTATAAGTTAGACTTACTATGGAGAAGGAAGCGTCTGAGAATAGCTTTTAAAAATATAAAAAGAAGAGCAGTGGTCTTCATTATTTGGAAAATATTTGGAAAAATGTTTGTAATACCTATGATGATGACATACTAATATCTAATATATACAGAATTTCTTTACTATTAAAAAAAATGAAAAGCCCAGTAAAAAAAAGTTAGCAGAGAATGCAAATTGATAGTCACAGAAGAGCATATATAAATAGTCAATAAACATTTTCAAAAATACTCAGACTTATTAGTAGTTAGGGAAATACCAGTAAAGTAAAAGCAAAATGTTATTTATACACAGCTCATTCTCTGAGAATGGAGAAAGACATTAATGAGGGGTGTGCAGATAGAAAGGTTTTGTGTAAAAGGTAGGTTTGAGCTAGCTAAGCTAGATTTAAAGGAAGAGAAAGCTGTGCATCAGGCACCAGGAAAAGACCCCAAAGAAAGGATGGGAATAATACGTGACAGAGGAGACAGGACAAGAGGGGGCTGAGGCAAGGAAGTGCAGGTATAAACTCCAGGGGGTTTAGGAGGAGTTTAGCTGCTGTGTAATAATAACTGGGTCAGTGTGTATTTGTTTGGACTATGGCTGTACTTACAGAGTGGAGTAGCAACAATATGTCCTATAGAAGAAAAGGTAAAAAAAGAAAAAGTGACTTTGGACTCTATGAAGGGGCCCTCTGGACTCCTTGTCCCCATTTTAACTGTAGTCTCTCCAGTAGCCTTGACTGTCAGGTAAGAGATGAGTATTTTGAGCAGAGAAGCATTATGTGTAAAGAAAATGCTGTCAAAGGAAGGTTAAAGTGGCTGCCCAGGGCAGGGATGCCTCGCTTCCCAAGAGGTGAAAGTCCTAGGGAGCAGCCTGCATGGAACCCCTCAGGGTCATGAGAACCCAAAAAGAGAAGGGGTGGGGGAGAATGTGCTTCGCATTAATTGCTTTACAGTTTTTGAGATACTTTCAGTTGTAAACCCACTTTGTGACTGAGGAGGCTGCTGATGTCACAAGCGATTAGGGTCTAGTCTGGGTGAGGCACTCAGGGACTGGTTTTGGATTTGACTCCAGGTGCTTCTTCTTCCAAATAATGCTGGAGAACAGGCAGCACATATTTAGGACACGCACAGTGACTCTTTTTTTTTCTGGAATTGCTCTAGGTTTCCAGCATAGCTACCTGACTTCTTAGGATTTTAGCCTGTTCTCAGGGCAAAATTTCCCATCAATTGTTGTGGGAGAAGCAGTAGGTTCTAGAAAAGGACATTTCAGTTGAGAGGTTGAGAAAATAGGGTCTGGAGCAGCACTGCCTGAGTTAGATTCTTGGTTTTGCCACTTGTTATTCGAGTGACCTTGGACTAATTGAATTTCTCTTCCTCATCTGTATAATGGGGATGGCAGTGATACTTGCTTGCTAGGGTTGTAATGAAGGGTAGTGGGATTACTGTGAGTGAAACACTGAAAATGGTTCTTGGCCCCTAGAACAGTACATAGTTCCTTAGGGGTAATTTTGCTGTAGCTATTCAGGATAGTTTTCCACTCTACATTTTCACATGAATTCAAACACAGAATGAGGCAGGAATAGCTTCACTGGCCTTTAGTTTCCACTCTTAAATGTATTCCTTCACAAACTTAGTTGAGCGTCCTCAGGAGAAAGATTTAGTATTTGAACTTTTGTTTTCACATTTAAAATTCAGTCTCCAAAAATCTTATCATTTGATCCCTATGTGGTTTTTAGACAGATTTTAAAAATCTTGATTCATTTAGAAACTGAATGATCAGATGCTTAAGCAGACTATAATTTGTAAGATACATTATTATATTATCTTTGTTTTTTGGTAACAATTCCATCTATCTCATGGTATATAAACTCATCTGAAAATGGGAAAGCTGGGCAGATGAGTATATAGGACGTTTGGAATGAATCTGGTATGTTCCATATGTATATCAAGTGTATTAACTAGAAACAAAGACAGAAAGTACAGTTTCGTATCTTCATTGATAACTTGAAAATCATATATTCTCTTGCTGTTTAGCTAATGACAGATTGTGAATTCAGGAGGTCTCCAAGACAAATACATAGACGGGAAATGATTTTGGAATGCAATAATCAGGGAAGCTGGGGGCAGGATGCAGGAAGGAAAGAGCTAGATAGCGCCAGAAGGACTGTGAGGTTGATGGTGATGACAGGGCTGTGTGCATGGCCTGCAGTGATAAGATACACCTGATGAAAAGATGAGGCCAAGGAAGCGAGTGGGCAGGATGCTCCTGTTTTACCTGTAAATTGAGCTCTGTGGGATTCAACCCAGAAAAGGTAATGGAAACACACACACCACATCCTGTAACGTGTGCAGCAGCTTTGCTCACGTAAAGTTTCCCTTTTTAAAACTTCGGAGGCACATAAAATTATGGCCAAGTAAAGAAAAAGCAATAAAAATGAAAAAGTAAATCTCATCTTCCAAAAGAAAGAGACTGATGTACTTTTAAGTATCTCAAATATAAATGCGGCAATAGTTTTGTTTTTAATGCAGTCATTGTTGAAGTCATCAGCTTAAAAACTCTAAGAGTGGTTAATCTGTCAATATATTCATATATGTCATCTTAATTTATTACTTGGACTTTTTCTAGTTGAATTGGGATTTGTTGCTTAGTTTTATAATTTTAAGGAAAACTTTTGGTGTTATAATAATTAGTATTTGTTCTAAAATGATATTTGTTGTATTGAGAAGAGTAGGTTTTAAACCTGAGAATTACACTTTAGATTGCTGTACAAATTTAATAATAAATATTGTCCTCAGTTGTAAGGTGTATTAATTGATTTGAAGCATCTCAAGCTCTTCCTTGCTGGCAAGGACTCTTCCCCAACAGCCTCCTTACACCACCCATGGCCATAAATGTCAAGTCTTTGACTTGCCTGTTAAAATTGTATGACTCTCCTCCCCTTTATTTTTTGTTATTTTTCTTTATGGTTCTTAGCACAATTTCTAATAGTCACATGCATATTCATGTGTGTACTTTAAATAGCTGCTTCCTTTACTGCATGGCAGGCTCTGTGGAGACAGGCCTTTGTTGTGTTTATTGCACCAATAGAGAAAGACAAAAATTCGCTTTTCAATAGCTAGACATAGGCCAATGAAACAAATTTCCCTGTATCATTAACATTTTGTGCAAACTCCCTAATATGTTACGTTGTTATAAAAACTAAAAACTAAGGGCAAAGATACTCTTTTAGGAAAAATTCAGGCTTAAACATTGATTTTATGGTGAGTTCTACATAAAAATTTGCTTTTAGAGTCTTCCTTGACAGTTTTTAGTTTAATTTCATCCAATACTGGGTTATTTAGATATGTGACATTGTGTTATCATTTTCACTGATAATTAAGGTAAGCTTATCAAATTTTCTGTTTCTTTCTTAACATTCATTTCTATGACTATGATGAAAAGCTTTCATTTAGGGTATGTTCTTTTCTGCCTTTTCTGTTTCTTTGTGAATCTGAGTCATAGGTGATGTCATTGTAGAGCCCAGTACTCCTCAGAGTACAAGCTTCAAACTTCTAGTTTAAAATTGTGGCTTCCGACCATTAGAATACTGCTCTGTGAGAATCCAGCTATGAGGAACTAGTGTAAGTGATATCATTGTAGTTTAACCATTCCTGTCTTTTCTCCAAGTTTGGACCTCTGGAAGTCCTGCTAATTCTGTTAACAGTCTTTATACAATGTTTAGGAGCTTAATCCTATATACCTATCCTATATTAAAAAAAGTTAGTAGACATTTGTACTATAGGATGTGATATTCATAATGTCAATAAAATCATTTCCAGGCACAGTTAGTCATTTGTTTCCAAAATAATTGATTTAAGTATAAGGGGTAACATTGTGTCTCAAAGGCACAGCAAAGTCACTCAAAACCTACTCTTCCTTTTCTCATATGGTCTTAAAATTAGAAGGGAGATACTTTGTTCCATGATTGGGTCAGTTGCCTGTTAAAATCAAAAGAAAACATTGCCTTGATCACTTAGGATAGGTGAGATGTCAGGAAGAGGTAGACACTCAGATGTATGAACTGTGGCTTAAAACTAGGATAGACTGTTGAATGTGAATGTGTAGTCAGTGAGTCAGTGGTGAAAACTAGGACCCATTGAAACCATGTGGCTGTTTTCTTTGTTTACCTATCTGCAAACTTTACAGAAAAGGTAAAGGTTTTTTTTTTTTTTTTTTTTTTTTTTACACAATGCAGTTATTTTACTTTAATTAAGTCATGAGGAAAATTCTTGCATTTTTGTGGCTTAGGCACCTTTTGAATCAAATCACACAGAATACTGAAAGTTAGAATATATATTTCACAATACTTTGCTTATTGCATTCATTATAAGGATATGGATGAGAGATATACTTAAAATAATTAATTTCACTACAGAAATAGAATGGAAAGGTTAAGCAGCATTTTAAAACTCAAATTGTAAGGTGTATAGGCAATGCATAGCAGTGGTAGAAATCTTTAAAAATCAAGTTATCAAGAGCTATTACAAAATTGTTGCAAAATTTGAAGACTCATGGAAGTTACCTGTTCCTGCCTTTGAATGAAAGACCACTTCTCAGTATTTTCCATCCACTTATTCATCCAATCAGAAAGTTACTGAACTAGATATTACAGTTTAAACAGAACCTCTCCTCAACTAAGCTTACTGTTTATAAAGGGACGAGCCACAGCTCAGGTGTGCAAGGTCTGACCAGATGAATTTGGGGTGCTTCAAAAATAGATCAGCAGTAAATATTCTAGTCTGGGAGATCATAAGAGGCTTTCAGAAAGAAGTTACACTTGGGCTAATACCTGTAGGATGTGTATAAAATTTCAGGTGAATAATGGGAGCAGGTGGGGGGTAGTAGTTTGAGCAGGAAAGCAGATTATGGTTCTCTGGTAGACAGCTCAGTGGATAGAAAATTTCAATTGTAATCTGCAGAAATCTTGTTGGCTACAACTTCTACCCATTAATACTAACTGTACCTTTCTGAGTAGAACAAATGCTATTTTTCTATTTTTTCATATATTTGGAGAGAGTTACCACCTGACTTCTAAATCTCTTCAGTACAGTTTTTGACACAGAGTATATATTAAATAAATATTTTCTGAATGAATAAATAAAAGTCCCTTAGGAACCATAAAGTGCAATACAAATGCAATATTTTATATTTTGTATTTGCTGTTTTTCATTTCCTTTTACCATTTTCCCTACCTAATAGGATATAGCTCAAATCAATTTAACAAAGACCTTAGGGTGTGTATGTGTGTGTGTGGGGAACTTGGGAATTCAAGAACTACTATACTTTCAACTCATGCCTCAGGATTTGATTCATTCTCTGAGAATAAAACAAGTGTTGTCATTTTCATTATTAATTTATATACTTCTTTAATAGCCATAGAGTAAATGGCAAATTCTTTCAAAGCACTATGCCAGGCACTGGGGATACAAAAATATATAAAAATCTCTTCTGTGCTCACTGTCTATTTAAACAAATAGTTTAAATATATGCTCTCCTAATTGGAGCACATCTCCTAATTGGGATGTACTTTGAAATAATTTTCAAGCGTGACTGAGACTCAGTCAGGTTGGCTTTGGGAAAGTAGTACTAATCCCGGGTTCCATGGACTGGGGTCTCAGTCATGTCAGCTATCCCAGCCTCACAGGTTGGAACTCAGTACGGCTTCCAAGTTGAATGAGTAGAGGAAGAAAAGAAGAACCATTACGATATGGATTAACTTTTGTTTATCACAAATAAACACTCACTTGGAAAGAGCAAATGCCAGGTTTAGTAGCACATGAGCAGCTGTCAAGTTAATTGCAAGTCATCCCCCTCCTGTGTTCCTGTGCTCCAGGTGCGGCTGCGCTGGTTGCAGCAGGGCTTACAGACTGCCGGACAAGCTCCATGCTCAAGATCTTAACACTATCTGTGCCCCTCCGGTGCTGGAGGTGGGAGAACATGAGTAATTGAAAGAAAACTTGACACAAGCCCACATTATATAGAAGGATCAGTAGATGAGATTGTACAGCTATGAGCTGAGAGTGTGCAGGGCATTGTATCCCTCAGGCAGAATGTCTTATGTGGAGCGTGTGGAGGCATCTGGCGCCATTCAGATGGAAGTCTGTATATGTCACTTAAAGCACTGAAAACCGACGGAGAGACGAGCACAGATGAAAATACTGTGAAAAGTGCTCTAGCAGAGGGTTATAGAGGGCACAAGGGAAGCGGACCTATAAGCTTAGGGCAGGACCAGGTAGGGAAAATCTTTGGTTCGGTGCCAGCTACTGTGGAAAGTAGTGAGGGGGATTTATTTATTCCACTGGTGATATTGCTCCTGATTTCAAGATATAAAATAATTTTTAAAAATTTGAATGTTTCTTGTTTTAGAGAAGCCTCACCAATGAATTAGAACAAATGAGGTTTTGCTTGTAATTTATAAGTCAATATCAGAAAGTTCTTCCAAGTGTTATAGTCCCACCAGGATTTTTACTAGCTCTCAACTATAGGTACTAGACTTGTGTCCCCCAGGGAGACCAATTACTGAGGACACAAAACAATTTGAGCCATCCCCAGATTGCTTTTTAGCAGACAGAGTCTGAAGATGCATGGAATTATGAATAAAGGGACATTCTGAGACTGTTGTAAGAAAGTAAAATAGTGTAAGAATTGCAACATGATAAAAATATTATCAAATAGCAAAGCTTTTAATACTTTTGAGGTCTGTGCAGCCTTTCTTGGATGTAGGAATCAAAGGCGGTGTGAAATGGAAGGAGCTAGTTGTTTGTTTGGTTTTTTGATAAAGAGCTTGTATCTATACTCGTTAACATACATTCATGTTTCTCTCTTCATGGAGAAAAATATAGTTCAATAGGAAGTAAGCCGATAATCCTTGCTTTGGATTCCCTAAGACTAAAATAAAGAAAAAAATATGTCAGAATGAATATTGAAGATGATTTTGCTCCTGGAAGCAACTGTGGAGTTAAAGCAAAGGAAAAAAAAAAATGGCTTTAAATAGGCCCAGGACATTTTAGAAAATGTAATTCCTAATAATGATTGTTTTGAACAAATGGAAAATGATGAGAAAACTCATGGTACAAGCTATGTCCTGTATTCAAAATAATTTCTTAGGAAAACTCATATTCTAATTCTGGGGCTCAACTTCCATTTCCTAAATTCAGTAAGCGTTAAGGGATTTGTGGTCTTAATTTCTAATTCTATAGGAATGCAGAAACGCAAACTGACATTTAGAAGTCCTGAGCTTTTAGTGCATAATTCTTGTTAATAGGGTTTGAGTTCATGCCTAATTGCATTTATGATCAATGTTCAAGTGGAGCTTGTTTTTTTAAACTTTTATGCCTAATTAAGTTTTATACAGGAGAAAATATAACAAATTTAAACTACTGTTTAAGGTAGCATTTATATGATCTAATGAAAATCAAATGTATTATTTTAGAAGCTTAAAGATTAATGTGCTATTTAGTATATCCTGTTTTTCTTCTATGGCAGATTAAATACAAAGAAAAATTTGGTAATGAAATGAAGGATAAGAAACATCATTACAATCCCCTTGAAAGTGCTTCTTTTAGGCAAAGTCAGCTTGCTACCGTACTGGCGAGTGATGTAAGTTACTTTGTGTCTTGTGACTTGTAATTCATAGAAAATTATTTTCATTATCTTTTGATTCTTGTTTTCTCAGAATTGGCTATGTTGTAATTACTGACTATTAATCAAGATCATGTAATTTCCAAGTAATTTTAGTTGGAAACACTGAGGCATATTTTCCCGGGGCTTTTTTTTTTTGAGAAAAATGTATTATTGTAATTTGCTATTAATTGTTACTGATTACTAATTTGTTAATAAGTAGGAATAGTATTGCCAATAAAACTATTATGTCTCATCAAGATCAAAAAGAGATTATAGCTTTGCAGACGAGTAGTATGTTGTACTGTCAATTAGTGGCTATGCCAATGGTTAACGCATGTCATTATGCCCACAATATTAGGCTTTTGTAAATTATTGCCTGCTATTTGGTGGCTTATCATAAAGAAAATTTCAGAAATTATACTTGTGATGCTTAACATTTCTTTTAAAATTTAAATTTAAAAAAATTGTCCCTCTGTCAATGCTGCAAAATATTTCATAGGAGTTGTTTTCATTTCGTGTTTTAAAAGATGATCAAGTTTCAGTTTACAAGGAAAGTTTCCTTAAATTAGAGTATAAAACAGAAGCAGGAAAAGACCAATTACTCTACCACAGTAGAAAGATGTATAGAATACCTTTCCAAGTATTGAAATGAACTATTGTTGACTGTTGCTTTGCTAGATCATTTAAACCCTTTCACGCCTGTCATATCCTTGGGACTTAGTCCATCTTACTTTAATTAATGTTTAGAAGATATTGTTAAACTTGTGCTCAATAACTTTGCTCCACCAAAACCAAAAATGAATGAAATGAATGTTTTTGTCTTTCAAGATCGTTGGGAATAGCAGAATAATTTCTTTTCATATTTGATTATTGTTGTCCATAAAATCCTAAAGAACACAGAGTTACGATGTATTTAAAGGAAACTAGAACATAATATTGAAAGCTCAGGGTTTACAATATTACCCGGATGGACTTCTCCACTTAACACCATAACATCATTTTTCTGTGCCTCAGTTTCTGCATCTGTAAAATGGAGATACTTCAAGTATCTTCCTACTGCAGTTGTGGAGATAACTGCTTAACACAGCTAAAGTGTTTAGAAAAGTGTTTGCCACATAGTAGGCGCATGATATTTTTCCTATTGTCAACATGCTAATATTACTACTAATATTATTATATTTCCAAAACAGTAAAAAAAAAAAAGTCTGTATGACAATAGGATGAAGAACACCAAAGCCCTAAAATCTCCATAAACACAATCGAAATACAGTAGTCATTTCTGAAAAAACTAAAGTGGTTGTTCTAATAACGTCTTCAAAGTAAAATTTCTGTTAAATTTGCATGATTCTGTGGCCACCCTTTCTGAATAAACGCTAATAGGAATTATCAAAATATTTTCAGGTCCTTGAAAAATAACTTTTTTACACATTCCGTAGTTAATGAGCACCATCTAGTGGCTACTTGTAGAACCCGTATGTCAATTTACCACTGCTTAGTACTTTCTGTGTTCAAAATAATGGCGATAATGCAAAAGGATAATATTTTCTTCTCCTAGATGGTATTTTGTTCCATGTTATTTTCATAGGTGAAGTACAAGAAAGACATGCAATATATGCATGATCCAGTTTCAGACCTCCCTAACTTGTTTTTAGAACATGCTTTGAAAACCAGCAAAATGCTCAGCGGAGTAAGTGGGTTGCTGGATGACAGCTGTGGCTGCGCTGGGGGCTCTGTGGTGCTTGCGCCTGCAGAGTTCGTGCGTTCGCCTGCTTCCTCCTGCGTCTGTGTGTCCCCCGCATCAGTGACTAACTTTTTGGAAAGTAGTGATCTGCTTTGCTGCAACCCCACACACCTGTCACATTCCCAGTGGGCTTCCTTCCAGCTCTTTAATGTCTCGAATACAAACTTTTTGTTGAATGGCTCCTTTACACCTTTCTTCCTATCCTTCCTTCCTTTATTGAAATCACTTAAGGTCCAGCTCTTAAATGAGAGATCTTTTATTATACTCAGTTCAGAGTAGAGTGTCTGGTATTTAAGAGGCTTCGGTATAAGAAAAAATTGTATTTTCTTGGAAAAAAAAATCCTGCGGGCATTTACATTGACGCCATATTCTCATGTCAGTCTTGTGAAGGTTTGTACTCCTTTCAACGCAGCTGGGGAGGGAGTTTCTCCAAGTCTTCATGAGAGAACTTGTGTACAGGCTGCCTGGTGTCCTGGCATTCCAGTGGAACTCATACAAGGTGCTGTTTCAAACAAACTCTGCACCCGGACCTTGACCTCACCACCTTCCCTTCCGATTCTGACATTCAGGATGCCCCATGGGCAACTCTAACGTGACCTTAAGTCATTTCTATGCTTATTTTAACAAGTATGCCTTCTCTCAAGATTACCCAAATCTGTTCAATATCTGCTTGGGTCCAGGTATAGTGTAGAAGCAAAAATATGCTGGGCAAGAAATGTGAAAAAATGAAGCCCGTTGTCTTTAGGAGATGTGGCTGTAGCCTTGAATCTAAAAAATCTGTAGTCAGGCTCAAAGTATTAAGTAATGAGCTACAGCCTCAGTTTAGGCTTAAAAATGCCTACCCTTGGCTTTGATAGATTGAAATTTTGTTTATTATTTTATAATCATCCTCTCTCCACTGCCACTGTCATCATTCTTGAAATGTGCTACACATGTAAGTCTTTCATACCCACAGTGCCTTTTTAATGAATTAACTTTACTCACTGGTCCTTGGAGGAAAATCAGTCTATCCTTCCTTCCAGTCTGTGGGGCAGAGAATGAAGGTTTGAGGGCTGATAGGCTCAAGCTGTCCTGCCATCTCCATGCTCCTTTCTACTCCTCTGCACACAGTCTTCTGTTCCTGGAGAGTCTGTTTCTGCTGCCAGTTTTCCTCCATGAATCCTAGGTAGCTTCTAAAGCCTTTGGCATCCAGTTTTGATCATTAGGGTGGCATTTGCCCTTGACAATGCCTCATCCATACTTGGGTTAAACTTCTTGAGGACATGAGGAGTCTAGTTGAAAATAAGTCAATTAAAGTATTTATAGTGCTAATTGAAAAATTAATACTTGGAAGAATGCATCTACTCTGAGGCAATATTTCTTTTAAAGAACATTGGCCTTTATTTTAACATAATGGTAAAAAATCATAGTTTAAGATAAATTATCTCTATCAACACTTCAACAGAGAAAATCCAGAAAAATATATAAAACTTATATATTACATTTATTTTAGAAACTCTTTATAAAGTTTAACCTTCATTTGCTAGATTATAGATCCCCCCTCCATAGAAAAATTGTTACTGAATGAATAATTCATAGGAGAGAACTTTCAAGGTTCAAAAAAGGTGTTACTCTGAACTATCCACTTATTAAATTTGTATGATGATCCATTGGCTCAAATTTATTGTATGTCAGAGTTATCTTTTAAATTTTAATGTAAAGAGAATTGAAATTTTGTTGATTTATAAAGGCAACTTAATTTAATTAAGATTGAACATAAGAATGCTTAATAAGAAGACATTCTGCCAAAATTACTGGTCAGTTTGTTATAAGTAGCTTTTTTTTTTCCAAAGGACCTCTAAATGTCTTTGGAATAATCCATTTATTTTTTTTAACATGTAGCTGTAGAGTAAAATGAGTGCCTTGTGAGTTTACACAGCCATAATGTATGATTAATTAAATTTCTGAGGGCACTTTTCTCCCTGGAAATAGCACTTCACTAGTTTTCAGTGTCTGCTATAACTTTGCATGAGTTAGTTATATAATGTGTGTTACTCTGTATAATTCCCACTAGGAGGCAACAGAGACTAAGAAACTTGGACAGACTAACAGTCTAAGAACAAGTATTGAAAATTTCTTTTGCAGATCTTAGTTTAAATAGGTTTTCTTTTTCTTTTGTAGTTTTTTATTTTAAAGAGGAGTTTCTGAAATTCTCTGTAGCTAAAATAGGTATTTCTGTTAGGGACAGTTCTTATTGATCTTTTCTCAGTATATTGATATTTTAGACATAATATGCTAGACTTGATGATTTCTAGGTTTTAACTCAGTAGTGGGATATATTCCAGCGTGTTAGAGTCAATTCATGATAATTTTATAAATATATATTAAAAATAACTTCTAATCAAATTATAAAGTCTCTAAGTACATGGTTATCCTTTGAGATTGTCTTTATATATATTTTAATTTAGCAGAAAAGCTAGAACTTAGAATTTACTCTGTTGTCAAGTTGTACTATGTGAACATTTTCATGAAGTTCCTGGGCATTCATTGCCTCACTTTTTTCTGGCTAGTTTTGGGGGACACAACACTAGTTTCTTATAGGCAGGAAGCACCTCTGAGGGGACCACTGAAACAGGGGTCCTTATGAAACAGGGGTTCTCAGGTGCAGGTCATTGGACCATCTACCCTTCCCATCCCGGCACTGGGCAGCATGTCCCAAGAGCCAAATGTCAAAGTTGTCATCATGGCCAACTCTCTCCCGCTCCCTTTCTGGTGCTACTTACTTCCCCACTCTACAGGAAATTGCCATTATTACTGAAACCCTCATTTGCCTAAAGCAACTGACTTTAGCTTAAATCTCTGTAGCCTTGAGTCTTTGTATTATCCATTATTTACCTCTTAACTTCTCTTCTTAATAGTGCAGAGTAACTAAGTCTTCAATTCCCAATGACAGAAGTCATGAAGCAGTTTTTGTCACCTATATTTTGCTTACCTGTTTTTTGTGTTTAGCGTCCCACAGTTGCCAAGTTTGTCAGCCTTATTCATTCTGGTCTGTATATCTAGACAGTAAATAATCTTAATCCAGTTTTTTCACCTTAAAAATTCAATTGATTTGTACCCAGTTTTCTTAGTTTCTCTTCCTGGCCCCTCCTACCCTCTCCTTTTATGACAATTACTTGAGGTATTTCTCACTGTCATTTTCCTTATGATCCGCAATCTTCCTCAGAGGTGAGCCTTTCCAGACAACTTTTTAGGTTTCGTGCCTCTGGCTTTCCTCTCCTCTGTTGTTTGTTCTTTTCTTTCCTTCTCTTCTTGTAGATGCTATTAAAACACATTCCCTTTGAAGTAGAAGACAAGTAAGAATCACCTTTATTTTGCTCAACTTGCCTATTCCTGCAGATCCCACCACTGGCTTCTCCATTGCCACTCCTTGAGTCCTGAGCAACATTTAGGTTGTGTTTACAGCTCACTGTCCCTGCTGCTCTGGAGTGTGTCGTATGCTCTTCACATTGACCACCCACAGCTGGTTTGTCCTGCATTCTCTGTTCATCTCAGTGTCAGAAATCTCCAAAGTGACCAGTGACTGCAAATGGGTTCTGATAACATCTCGGCAGCTTTTGTTGGCTTGTATTTCACTGTTTGCATCCCCGAGTATTAGTTGCACCAATCAGCCTCTTTTATTCTAAATTTATTTTCATATTCTCTGTTTTAGCGAGAGTACAAAAAGCATTTTGAGGAAAGCAAAGGAATGTATCATTTTGACGCGGATGCTGCCGAGCACCTGCACCATAAAGACAATGCCACGCTGCAGAGTCAGGTATGTGTCCTCCTGTGTGGGTCCTGTCACCTCTCACGGCCTGAGTCTGGACAGAGACTGTGCAGATGCTGAAAAGAATGAGCATCCTGAGCAGAGGAGCATTGCTTTGGAAAATCTTAAACACTTTTTTCTATTGCTTTGGGGAAAACTTGAATCATATTTCAGTATAAAGATATATATTTTTAAAGATTTATATATTTATGCATGTAGGAACTGGGGTACAGGCCAGAGGTGCTGGGGGTGGGGTGTGTGTGTGAGAGGATTCACCAGAGACAGAGTGGGAAACAGAACAGGTAGACTGACTAAAATACACGGCTGAGGGGAGCAGTGGGCAAGTCAGGAGAGGTCTGCTATGCCATGTGGGTAGCTCCTTGGCTGGGGATTGAACTCGTGCTGCAGTGGCTGCAGACAGTTTCATAGGCTGTGTCTTAACCCCTTGCACCACAAGGGAGGCCCTCAGTATAAAGATATTTTTATAATATAAAAGTTACTTTACACAATGTAAAACTTACAAGATAGAAGATAATTAAACTGATCAAATATCGTGATGATTTAAATTTTTATAGTCAACTGATTTGTCAGTTTCCAGCTACAAGGCTTATTATTACTCAATTCAATTATGTGTTATTAAAAAGGAAAAATTACAAGACTAGACTAACAGTTTCTTTCAATTGTGAAAAACCAGTGTATTATTTGACAGAAATTGAAAAAAGTATCTCCTATGCATAAAGTTGAAACTTATTTTTATTTTGAGTTTTAATAGTTGGCAAAAGATGTCATTTCCAGTTTCTGATAAACTAAAATGTCATATCATCCTTTTTTTATGTATCTAATGAAACATAAACTTAATAATGACTTGAAACCCACTTTTATGTATTTAAAAAAGTATGCAAACTAGCTCTTCTTAAGATTTGGAATTATACATTTTTTCTCTTTGCATTGTTACTTTCATTTCATTTTTCTCACAAAATTTTATTGTAATGTAGTATATTTACTAGACTTCAAACACCCTCATTGATCACTCAGTCACACTTCTCTGAAACAAAAATATGCCTCCAAATAGGAATTTTAAAATGTAGTATATTTTCTGCCATCACAAAGTTTTAAATATTGAAACTTTTCCTTTGGATCTAATTATTCAAATTATTGTTGTTATTATACAATTTAAGGAACAATTTCATAAATTATCAATGAAAATATATTTCTGAATGAAATAAATCATGAAGTTATCTGCAGCCTCTGCAGCATGAGTTCTATCCTCGGTGGGCCAGGGAGCTACCTACATGGCACAGCAGACCTCTCCTGTCTCACCCACTGCTCACCTCAGCAGTGTATTTCAGTCAGTCTGCTTGTTCTGTTCCCCACTCTGTCTCTGGTGAATCCTTGCATCCCCCTGCACCTCTGGCTTGTACCCTAGTTCTTGTATGCATAAATAAATAAATCTTTAACAAAAAAGAAAAATTCATGATATAATATTAAATAGTGCATAGTAAAACTGAAAGAAATAATATAAAAACTGCGTATTTTACTCTCTGTCTGTGGGAGAATTGAGCAATTCCAGAGAATTCTGTTCTCCTTTTCACAGAAAAATAGAGAATCAGACATGTTTTCTTTCTTGTTCATGATTTACTAATGGGCATTCAAAATAGTCACAGGGACTTCTCTCTCTCTGTGTCTCAGTTTCTGTATGTACATATGCTTATACCATGTATATATATGTTTATAAACCAACATATATGACATATATCTCTCAGCTAAATACAGAAATCCTAGAACAATATTATTCAGCAGTTCAATTTTTTTTTAATTCTTAAAAGTTTGTACTTATTACCTGTTTACTTTCTTTATATGTCATTAACCATAGGGAATCCAATGATCAACCTAAATGGCCAGAAAAATGTGATTTTTAGAAAATAGGATGATTAATTTTGGACACATATTTATTTGACTTTACTCATACAAGTGTTTGTGAGGTTTATATGCCTCTTATACTTTTTTTAAAATGAAGGTTAAATACAAAGAAGAATATGAGAAAAATAAGGGGAAATCAATGCTTGAATTTGTCGAGACACCATCTTATCAAACTTCAAAGGAGGCTCAGAAGATGCAGAGTGAGGTGGGTTCCTTTGATTTGTTATCCACCGTTTCATGAAAATTTGTCATTTTACAATTAAGAGAAATCAGTGAAATGGTTCAGAAGGTTTAGCAGGTCCGGAAGAAAACACCTGACTGGGAAGATTCAGGGAAGCTGCAATCTAAATAGGGGCAATTTCTTGTAAAATCAATTGGTTTTTTTTCCACCAATGTTTCCATTAATGTTTTTTAAGCACTTATTCTTTAATAGGTAATATGCTAAATTATTTTCTATATGTCAGCTTATTTAAGGACATCAGGCAGAAATCATGCCTAGATAGATAATGCATCCACTGAAATTAATTGTCTTACCTAAAGTTAAATGGTTGTTTTAGGACTGGATAAAAGTCATCAACATCTCCCTTTTTACTGTTAGTTTATTTAATTGATTGTCTCTCCCCTACTCCACCCAATAAACAGTGACATGGAATTTTTTAAACATTAAGCAAAGAGATCAGTTAAGAGTTTTCCCCCCATTTATGTACTTTATTCTCTACTTAAGACAATGCTAGTCACATCTAGTTAGTCCCCATACTGGTTTCCCTCTGATCCAGTAAGATTTCTTCTGTTTTTTTCTCCCCTACTATTTTGGGGGACTAATCATCAGACATAGAGGTTTTTTTTCCCTGCAGCCAATATCCAAATTCTGTGGGTACAACTGAGTCATGACTTCAAAGGAACAGAAATAATTAGCTTAGTATCATTTGGTTACAACTCCAGAGCTCTGCTCCATGCATGTTCAATAAGCAAGATCTTTGCTGTCCTCCCCCGCCCCCCCAAAAAAAATACTGAAAATAGGGAGAAGTGATAACTTCTGGACAAAAAGTCTGTCATAGGGATTTTTAAATGTATATGACATTTGTTGAAATGTTCGATTTTATCTTCTCAGGGAAAAGGAAGTCTATATTACTATAGTTTGTTGAATAATCACAATTGCTTAATACATTTTTCAAAAAAGAGAAGAGAAAATAACTACTTATTGTTTTTGTGCCTCATATTTTTTAAGCCAGTTTGATCAGGTAAATAGGTGAATATTTGACTAAATTAGCCATTTGTTTTAACTGAATTGACAAAGCTAGTAAATTTGGTTAAAGTTCAGAACTTCGCACAAAAATATATTTCATGGTATAACTATCTGGAAGACCTTTTGTCTTAGGTTGGACTGCTATAATACAGTACCTCAGACTGGGGGGCTTAAACAACAGATATGGTTTTCTCAGAGTTCTGGAGGCTGGAAGTCCAAGGTCAGGGTGGGAACATGGTTGGATTCTGATGAGAGCCTCTTCTGGGTTACGGTCATATCCCTATTTATCCTTAATGTGGCTGAGAACAGAGAGGGAAGCAGGCTCTCTCATTCCTCTTACAATGACACCAATCCAATTCATGAGCACTGCAAGCTCATAACCTCATCTAATTCTAACCACCCTCCAAAGGTCCTCCCTGCCCCCCCACCCCCCACCTAATATCATCACATTAAGGTTTCAACATGTGAAAACGTTTTCTGCATTTGGAGACTTTTTTGCCAAGTATTGCACAGACCCTTTACATTGCTGTATTGTTTTCCATTGCAGTGTGTACTTTTCTAGTGGGCTAGAGCCAACTTTCCAGCACTCCCATGTTTTAGTGGCATAATGTGGCTGTTGTCACTGACCTCTAGCCTAGAGAAAGGTTTCTACTTTTGTGATATGTTTTGGTGCTTTTGCTTAATGGCATCTCTGGAAGTTTAGGACTCTGAGTTGTTACATAAATTTGCACTAAGTCTTGGTGTTCAGTCACAGGAACAGGAACATCCATGTTGTGTACGCTTGTGTCATCCTGTCTCGTGGTTCTCTGATTTATTTCTATACTAGTTCATTTACTTTCATCTCGCCATCAAATCCTGGAACTCAGCATCTGTGATTCATATACACTAGTTCCTCATTTCTACATTGGAAGTGATGGTATTTTATGATTTTGAATTTTAGATCCTTGTGTCTCTTGGTGATCTCTTATCTACACCCAACTTAACTCTCTTACTCCTGTTAAGTGCACATAGATGACAATCCAGTTCCCGGACCATGTTTTTTCAATCATTGTATTCATGCCTGAGCTATGCCATTCACTGGAGCTTCAGATACACCTGTGAAAAGGAGCTGGTCTCCTCTTAGAGTGAAAGAAGTTAGGATGTGCTCCCAGCTTGTCTTTCTGCCAAGTGGGGAAACTGGGTCACCACCTCAGTTTGTTTTGAGTGTGGGTCTCACTGCACAGCCCTTGCCCCTGGTCCCCAAGCTGTCACGGACAGTCATACCTCCTCCTTTATTGAGAAGACCAGGACCTTTCTCAATGTCCCTCCTGGACTTTCTCAGTGTTCCTCCTCTCAGCCTGACGCTCTTCTTATTTTAGGGGATGTGCTAGCCTCTCTTGTCTTATTCACAGAGAGATACGTTCCCTCTTGTTTTCCTTTTCTTTGATCCTTTTTGTGCATTCTCTTCTGAATATCCCCTTCCAGAAATAAATAAATAAATAAATAAATAAATAAATAAATAAATAAATAAACAAACAAACAAATAATCCCTTTCCCTTCTTCTTTTTCCCTATTGTTGGAGGACTCAGATCCTTCTGTAGATAAGTCTCCAGGAAGGGTGTTTGCGCTGCGCATCTGCCCCTGCACCTTGTCCTTCCGTAGATGTGCAGTAGAGCTTGGGGTTTGCATTTTGATGTAGTTGGTCCAGCAACCAGACTTTGAGAAACACTGACTCAATGAAGGAAGCTAATATTTCCCCTAACTAAAATCATAGAACTCAGATGGATTTAAAAAAAGTCCAAAAATTATATAGATACCCACGTCTTATATAGTTGGTAGACAAAATTGACTTAATTATCTTTACATGAAGCTCAAAGTTGATTATTTTCTAATGTAGTTTGACCCTCCAAAGAGAAAAAAGTCCCCCAAAACAAATTTCACTGTGCAGATGACAGGGACTTTAAAGATAGCCCCAGCACTGAAGAAGTACAGTACTTCCCATGTAAGCACGCTTCCTTGTACAGACTTTGATAGTCTGATAACTAGTATTTTGTTTTACTGTTGCTGTGACTACACAACACAAAAGGAAAATAAAATGTCGACACCTAAAAAGAAAACCAGTTAAATGAATTAATTAATGGCTTTTAGTTGGTTGTTTTGATATCAAGTATAAATTGCTTTAATGTTTACACATCTGATGTATTTATGTGCTGTAGAATTAGGGCTCTATGGATATTTTGTTAATGTTGGCTTTCAGTTTTTGCTATTCTGATTTCTAGTATTTTCACCAGGGAGGAATTATCCTATGCAGAGGCTGAGACATATTTTCCCTTTAATTATAGCCATTGGCTATTAGATTTTTAAAGCTCAGCAATTATGTTTCTGCTCAGCAGGGCTTGAGAAAAGAGAAATCTTCCAACAGAAAATAGATTTGGACAAATTTATTCTATAATAGCTAGAAAGATAATATGTCTAAAAATCTTACTTAGTTTGCTGTGAAAGATGTCTTTAAACTCCAGACCAATGAAGTAGCTATAAAGACAGATGTCTTCGAGATGGTTTTTATTCTTAAGAGGTAAGCTTGACCATGAATTTCTTGAGGGGCCTCTTACATGTGAAACTAAGCATTTATGATCTTAGGAAAAGATCTAATTTTTTTTTTGTAGCCTATAATCATGTTTCTCTCACTTTCTTCTAATGCCAGACATAGGTTGAATCAGTGTGTTTTCTAGAAGATAGCTCTAAACCTGACTTTGAAAAGTTCTTTGTGTACTGATTCCTACATGTCGCACTCCTAACAAAAAACACACTGAAGTTTTATTCCCCCTTATACATTGACCACTTCTAGTCATAACTGACCTTTCTTAATTACTTCCTTCAATAAAATAATTTTTTTTCAGAGGAGGAGAGCTCCTGGAAATGAAATGTCTGATATAAATAAAGAAATACACATATACTTATATTTCACTTTTTTGAAAAGTCTTTTTGTTTTGATCAGGAAACACCTTAGATTCAGCCTTAAGGCTTTATTATCTCTGCTCCACATTAAGGTGAGGACAAGTTCTTGTCATTCTTCCTTGGTGTATCTGTAATTCTTTTAATTCAGAATGTTCTCAGTGTAACTTCTTAAATATATAGTTTTGTTAGGTTTTAGTACTTACAGAACAATTGTTGTGGCCTTTTCTCATGGCTATTCCTATATTATTTGTTAAAAAGCTGTGTGTAACATAAATGTGGTAAGGGACAACTTTTATTCTCCATCATGGTTTGGAGAATTTCTTTATAAAATTATTTGTTTCCATGGTGAGTATGTGATGAATAGAGAAATAGCTTTTCATTTTGTATTAATAGCAAGCTCATACAGAATTTACTTTAATATGTTTGTGATACAATTTGAATTAAATATTTAGCTGGTAAAATCTGGACCGTTGTTTGGTAAATATTTGACATATTTTTATTATTTAGAGTGACTATCTTTATAGTCATGAAGTACACACTGTTATTGATCTTCAGACATGTAGTTGGAATGCCAGAATTTAGACACTCACAGGTGGAGGGTGACAGAGAATGTCAAAGGGCCAGTGGGGTGTGGATTTAGGCCATCCACAATTACTGCCATCATCTTTCATTTCTTTTTTTTTTTTAAATAAAGATTTACTTTATTTATTTATGCATACAAGAACTGGGGTGTAGGCCAGAAGTGTGGGGCGGGGGTGGTGGTGATGAGAGAATTCACCAGAGACAGAGTGGAGAGCAGAACAGGCAGATCTACTGAAATACACTGCTGAGTGGAGCAGTGGATGAGACAGGAGAGGTCTACTGCACCATGTGGGTCAGCTCCCTGGTCACCATGTGGGTCAAAGTCATGCTGCAGAGGCTGCAGATAGCTTCATAGTGCTGAGAATTAACCTCTTGCACCACCAGGGAGGCCCATCTTTCATTTGTTTTTGTGATCTCTTACCTGAAGAACCATTGATAGGTTCAAGATAAATTCTCCTCTCAGTGTAACTGGATTCATCTCATAAGTGCCAAAATCATTGTTGGAAAATCTTTGACTTCCCTTCCAGATTGCATTACATTTTAGAAATGGTCTTGCCTGAATTCACAAAAGACTGAGAGAGGGATGAGGATATGAACAGACATGATCTTTGGTTTGAATGGACTTCCATGCCATCAGGTTTTCTTCAAGTGAATGATATAATTTGAGTGAACTAGTGAGGTGATGCAGTTATTGATGTTATTGGTGATGCAGATCAATGTTATTGGTTTTCTTCCCCATGAGGGCTAACGTCAAACAATAACGTACCATTGAGATACTATACATACTTATTCACAATTCTTCCCCAGAACACATGGTACTTGAGGACCTTGCTTTTGTTTGGTAGAATTCTAAAATTTATGATAAAGTTGGAGTTATTTTCCTGGTGATAAGAACACTCTGAAGTGGTAGAATAATACAAGAAAAATATCGGTTTTGTTCTAGGAACTCATTTTGATATCTTTTCATCAGTCACTAATATTTTCTAAATTAAAATTTATGTGTTCTTATTTAACAGAAAGTTTACAGAGAGGATTATGAAAATGAGATTAAAGGAAGGTCATCACTGGATTTAGACAAAACTCCGGAATTTTTACATGTAAAATACATCACCAACCTTCTAAAGGAGGTAAGATGCTACTTTTTACTATTAAATATCAGAAAAGAAAACTTAAGAAATAACCCGGAGAATATTTGCTTAGTAATCCATTACTAATTCAGGGATTGAGATATTTATCCATTACTCTTTCCCTCACTTTGACCTTTACTAATAAAGTTTTTCGGTTTTATTGAAAACAGGAAAAACTGGGTTAGCATTTCCACTTAGAGACACAGGAAGAAATTAACAGGATTTCCTAGAAACACTTGAAAAATATCTTGTGTTTGGGTTGTAGCTTAGAAACTCCATAAATACCTATAGCTTTATGGCAGATTGAAAAAAACCTTTGAATATGAGTGAGGCAAGCTTTCCTGCAGCGTTCTTGTCACATCTGACATTGGAAACGAGGTGCTCGTGTGTCAAGGTCTGAATCAATAACACATTATTTATAAGTGGTGTGTGTTCTAAGTAGGGAAATATACATTTATCATATAGAACATAAGAGCTCATGTTCATTGTCCATTGTTGTTTCAGCAGGAATCCCACCTCCCATCCCCAAGTTAGTGGTCAGTTTTGGCTCACAATTAATAAATTTGTTGAACATGAAGGTCCTCAAAACTAACAATTAAAAATACCATGCTCAGGGCCTCCCCAGTGACAAAGGGGTTAAAATCTCAGTACTATCAAGCTATCACCAGCAACTGCAGGATGAGTTGGATGTCTTGCTTCTCCTGTCTTGCCTGCTGCTCCACTCAGCAGTGTATTTTAGTAGATCTGCCTGTTCTGCTCCCCACTCTGTTGCTGGTGAATCCTCTCACCCCTCTTGCCCCAGCCCCCCACACCTCTGGCCTACACCCCAGTTCTTATATGCATAAATAAATAATATAAATAAAAAAAAACTTGTTGAACATTAAGGTCCTCAAAGCTAACAATTAAAAATACCATGCTTAGTCCATCATTTTAAAAGGTTGTTTTCTGTTTTTGTTTTTAAGTGGCTAAGAACTAACTTACAGCTCTTTCAGCTCTCCGTTTTAATAGATTTTCTTTATCTTAAGGGGAAGTGTTAGAGGAATCCATTTCACTCTAAATTTTGATCTGAAGAAAGTATTCCTGAAAGGAATATCTTAAGCCAGTGAAATAAATAGAGTATAATTACCTCTCTAGAGGTATATCCGCCAAATGCCAATTGGCTTTTACCATTTACCTGCTTCTAGAAATTGATTGTGACTCATTGGTGTATGTTGGGCTGAAATAGGCATAATACTTTTTATCTAATAGTTTTCTTTAGATAGTTTTCTTACTGCCCCATCTTTTCCCACTTGTAGTTCCTATAATTTTTTTTGTAAGCTAATCAAATGGTAATTTCCTACTATTATTGCTTCCAATTAAAAAATAGGCACTATTTATATAGATTTTTTGAAGGGTATAAACAAATTTATCATTAATACCCAAATGACAATGTAAGATCTATTTTGAGATCTATAAATGACTTTATTATACATACTGTTGCCTTTTTCTTTTATTTCTCTTTTTAACTTACTGATTCAGAACGTTTCAGCATAGGAAAAGCCCAGAAGACTATGATTAAAAACCTTTTAATTAAGTTACAGAGATGTCTAATTTTAAAAGGGAATCTTTGTGATAATGAAATTGTAACTCCCCTTTCTAAATGTAGGCTTTTAGCTTTAAGATGACTTTGTATTCTTATGTTTTTCTACATTTATGTTGCCTTTTATAATTTTCAAAAATACCCTTTTATGCTTCATTTCATTTGATTTTCCTCCATTGCCCTTTGACCTTGGTAGAACGGGTATTTTTATTTTCATTTTGCCAGTGTGGAAATCAAGGCTGTGTTACTTAAAGTCTTCCTGAAGGTCACATGACAAAGAAGTGAAATAATTGACTTTCATTCAGGTCATTTGGCTCTTTTCAAAATTACATGCAGGTCATTACAATGTCTTGTAGGCTATTAGTTAAGCAGAGGACCAGTTAATTTAATTATACTGGATAAAGAAGAAAATAATATCAAACGAACCCTAGAATTGACTGGATTGTGATTGCTTATCATTAAAGGAAGTTTCATTTTTCATCTAGTAAGTTAGACATAACTCTAACTTAGTTGGAGTAAAATATGATTGTTTTCATAATCCAAGTAGTGTGAAAATAAAAAATTCATTAGCACAAAGAAACTTCTGTTGTATATAAGTACTTATAAAACATTTGGTAAAATAGGTAAAATTCAAACATGCTATCAGTCAAAAATTATTTCCCTTTGCAAAACATTTTTTTAAACTTGGCTACATCCATTTTTATAGTTTATAAATGATTTTTGCAATTTTCCATTGTTTTCAACTATGTTCTTTTAATGATTCATATTTTGTAGATCATTTTCAAAGATATACTTCAAATAATAAGAGGCATGTATTCCTAAGATATTTCTGACCTTTGAAAGAGAAGTAATCATGGGCCTCCCCAGTGGTGCAGGGGGTTGAGCACAGTGCTGTGAAGCTGTCCGCAGCCTCAGCAGCACCGGTTCGATTCCCGGCCGGCCAGGGAGATTCCCACATGGCGTGGCAGACCTCTTCTGTCTCACCTGCTGCTCCCCTCAGCAGTGCTCTTGGTCTGTCTGCCTGTTCTTTCCCTGCTCTGTCTCTGGTGAATCCTCTCACCCTCCCACACCTCTGGCCTGTACCCCAGCTATTGTATAAATAAAAAATAAATCTTAAAGAAAGGGAAGTAATCATTTTTAAATGTTGTACCATTATGGTACCAAAATATATTGGAAGAAAGGAAGAAAGAGAAAAATATGAGATATTGGAAGCCACCCTGACATGAATAAAAGAAAAACTGAAATCTCTGTAGAAAATAAATGGCATGAATAGTCAGAGTTCTTTCTGGAAATATTTTCTCCTTTCTGTGGTTTTTATAGAACATATAAAACAGCATATCAGTAAGTGCTTCCCAGTAAATTTTGAACTGTAATATTCTTGTCTCATAGAAAGAATATAAAAAAGATTTGGAAAATGAAATAAAAGGGAAAGGGATGGATCTTAATTCAGAAGTTCTTGATATTCAAAGAGCAAAACGGGCATCTGAAATGGCTAGTGAGGTGAGTATATTTATTTAACAACTGAGAATATATTTTCAGCTGATTTTCTCTTCAGCAAATCTTTCTCAAAGAGTGTATATGTTCTACAAACTTTACGTGTAAATGATAATAAGCAGCTATATTCAAGTAATCTTTTTTCAATCAATGCATTTTTAAAAATGATTCTCTCTGCCTCCTTTCTATGTGGAAATGATCATTTTAGAGAAAAATCCGTTTCTCTCTCTTCTGGCAGAAAATTTCGTGATTTTTTTTCAAGGAATTAGCTCTGAATTTTCGATTTATACATTTTGGACAGGTTGATTTTCATTACCTCCCCTGTCACAATATATATTTTTAATTCTATTAAAATATTTTAAAAATGTTCCCTTTAATTATTAAAGAAGAATATGTACAGGCTGAACATACTTTTTTTTTTTTGGTAAAAACACAAGTTAGAATACTTACATGTCAGACACTGTTAAATGACATAGGGTGTTAAGTAAACAAATGTGGGACCGTGAGAAACAAACCAGAGCACCAGCACATTGCACTCCAGACCCCAGCACAATGATGGGGGTCACATGTGGACCCAGGATTCAGGTTGATCCAGTAATATTCCAATGTTGGACCTTGATTGAAACTATATATAAGAAAATAGGTGCTCACATTCCACTGGGTTTACTGGGGTGCTGGTTAAGGGGTGGTGCTTGCTTATCCCAAGGCAGATTAGAGGAGGCTTCAGTGAAGCTTCTGAGAACTACAATGTGACCCTTTCAGTTAAGAAATGCTGGTGGAGGGCCTCCCCAGTGGCGCAGCGGTTGAGCGCTGGGTTGCGAAGCTGCCCGCGGCCTCTGCGGCGCCGGTTCGATCCCCGGCTGCTCCCCGGCCACCAGAGGAGGGTCCCACATGGCGCGCAGACCTCTCCTGCTGCCCGCTGCTCCCCTCAGCAGTGAACTTCGGTCCTTCTGCCTGCTCTGCTCCCCGCTCTGCCTCTGGTGAATTCTCTCACCCTCCCGCGCTTCTGACTGTACCCAGTGCATGTATAAACAAAACAAACAAACCAGCAAACAAATAAATAAAAGCATGCCTCTATTAAAAAAAAAAAAAAAAAAAAAAAGAAATGCTGGTGGAGATCTGACCCCACTGAGGAAAGCCGGAGGGTGGCAGGCAGCTGATTATCTGCCAGGAGAGTCACTGGTATGCTGGAATCTCCCTACATCCTTAGGGTTAGGTTCTGCCAGGGGGATGGGAATGACATAATTGGGTTAGACAAATAAACCTGGCGTGGCTTAGGATTCTTGACCAATAAGGATTCCATTAAAAATGGCAGTGGGATGGAGGAGGAGATGCATACTGAACAGGCACTTGCAAAGCTCTTTTCAATTGGCCCCTAATTTTGTTCTCTTCCTGAGAGATAGTCATTGTCATTAACGTGTTGTACAGCCTTTCAGGGCTGTTTTTATGTATTTTTGGGTAAACATGTACTTCTATACCCATAGACTTAAAAAAAACTTAAATATCACATTTTTTCTGTGCTTGCTTTTCTCGCTTAATATCATAGACCCTTTCCCATGTTACTTTATACAGTTCCTACAGAAAAATGACATGTTCTATTACATAAATATGAGTATGCAACCATATCCCTCTTGTCTGATAAGCATTACCACATGGAAGTCGTACGTAAAATGCACAAAAACAGAAATCTCAACATTCCATGCTCAAACCAAAATCCTTACTATCCCCCTATTTTTCCTCCCCCTTTTTACCGCTTTCTCAAATGAAATCCCAGAAGTCACTTAGATTCTTCTTGTCAGCAAATTTTATTGACTCCAACCCACAATGGTTTCCTAAATCCATCTACTTCTCCCCACCCTCGTCCAGGCTGCCATCTCTGTGACCTGGATCATTGTGATAGCTTGCCAGAACAACCCTTGCAGAATTAAATGTCTATGTAGAATCCATAATCTTTGCTCTGGTGTTCGAATCCCCCTCTGTGAACAGACCATGCCTGTCCTCATTCTATACCCTTCTTATGTCCAGGCTGCCCACCACAGGCGTTAGGGTCTCTGTCCAGCTCTGTTCTCTTCCATTAAGTCCTTCCCCTGGTCTTTGCAACGTTGGATCTTTTTGTGCTTTTTTCTTTATCATTAATTTCTTAGATTGATGTCACTGTTTCAAATTATTATAGAGCCTTAATTGCATGTTTTATTTTCTATAGAAAGACTATAAAAAAGATCTGGAGACAGAGATTAAAGGGAGAGGCATGCAGGTGAGCGCAGACACTTTAGAGATCCAGCGAGCTAAGAGAGCCTCCGAAATGGCCAGCCAGGTAAGAATGTAATGGGTTACCAAGTTTGAAACAAACATTTGAGAAATTGTATGTGGAAAAAATATAAATGGCATTTCCACATGAGTGGTTTTGAGATTCAAACACATAACTATAAACATTCCTATGGAAAGTTGAGCAAGACTCTGATGATTATTTCCTGTTCCTTTAGAAAGAATATAAGAAAGATCTAGAAAATGAAATCAAAGGGAAAGGAATGCAAATGAGTATGGATATCCCAGATATGCTTCGAGCCAAGAGAGCGTCTGAAATCTACAGTGAGGTTGGTAGAGAATAAAGTTGCTCAGAATTATTTATTCTAATAGACTGTCACCATGTGCGCTGTGTCTGACATAGATTTTCAGGGGCCATGTTGGTGTGTTGTATTTAAAGTCAGTTCACTGTGTTGTAAAGGAACCATTTGCTAAACTTGGCTAATCTCACTAATGAAGAGACAACTGCTATAATTCTATTCAACAAACATTGAGTGCCTGAGCCACCCCCCACCCCCATGCCCGCCTTTGAGTCCAGACATTTTGACTTTTTTTTTTTTTAACTATTGCACACTTGACTGTAATGCTCACACTACAGAAAAAAAGATTTCAAAATAAGTTGTCTCTTACCCGCTTCATAGTTAACATCATTAAAATAAGCAAGCCCAATTAATATTAAGAGCAGATAAAACTGCACAAGATATAAGGTGAAATTGAATATTAAGTAAAAATTAAGACAAAAACTAAGTTTTCTTGGTAAAATTTAATTCGCCAAGTATATCTATTACCTATCTATCCAGAAAAACTGGATATTGGACAAATGATTGATGGAGGACAAGAATAGAAAAACTGGAAAGGAGGCCACACAAGACTAAAACCTGACTCACACCAGGAGGTGTGGGTCAAGGGGAATAACATGACCATTAACCCAGCTGTAGAGGTCATGACCCTTAGGCACCAGTGCCTTATCACAAGGCATGAGACCCTAGCAGGGTCAGAGACTGCTAAAGGGAGTGGAGCACAGGCCTAAGGGTAGAGATACAGAGATTGGGCCCACCTTGGAATCTCTGATCCCTTTCAGTTTTGCCTGTTATCCAACATCAGCTACAAGCAGCCACTCCATGGAGGAGTGACCCCTCCCAAAGAGAAAAGGACTATATCAGTGCAGTCTCTGCACAGGCTGGGGGCAGCACTCCCACTGCCCACCTGTGACTATGCAGGTGCCTCTTTCCATCAATTCTCTCCCTCTGCAGGGCAGCAGCCTCCTGCCTGCCCATGACCTGTCCCATGCTGGGACTTCTCTTCCCTGACCTCTCTCAGCGGAGGCAGCTCTCCTCAAGGCCGCCTGCCTGCAACCATGCAGGCCTCTTAGCAAAACCTTTCCCTTTCCCTAATAAACCTGCTCTTTAAATATAACTTATGTCTCAGTCTCATGGAGAAACTCGCCTGGGGAACTCACCGCGGGCCGCTGAAATGGGAGCTCTGGTGAAACCTTTCCCAGAGTGAACCCAAGAACCCCACAACTCCACAAAACGACATCATGATGACCACAAAAGAAAATATTTAATGGAAGAAGTTATTAATAAAATCTGATTTGGGCAAAAGTATTCACTAGAGAATAATTGCTTTGCTGTAACATTTTCATTGAAAAGAATGAAAACCTATGGAAAAATATAAAGGGAATGACTTTTTAATTTCATAGAAAACTGATCAAAGAATTAAATTTTATTAATGGGGCTTATGTTGAAAATAATTTTAACAGAGATTGACCAGATCAAAGATTTATTAAAATTCCATTTAAAACATAAGCAAGTCCCCTAAGCATTCCCTGGTTTAAAAGGAGAGTGTCAAGAAGGCAGAGTTAAAATGTCAAAGGAGTTGAATGCTTCTCAGTCTCCTTAGATGACCAGGCAGTAGAATTGTCCTGCAGTGTGTTTTCATTTCTCCTTGGGTGTTACACGATGACACATGAACTTGATAAAGTTGACACTAATTATATTAGCTGAACTAAAACCCTAGTTAAATAAGTAAAATGAGTAAATGACCATTTGAGTCAATGGAGAAAAATTACTGTCTCAACAGTTCCAAGTTCATGTGTTCATTCATTCAGCCAGTACTTCCTGACTATCTGCAAAACTATACATAAAATTAGAAATTAGTCATACCTTTGCCCTCAGGGAGCTACAGGCTAATTGCGCAAAAAGAGTATTTTAAACTGATGTCATTTTTGGAGTTGTTGGGTTCAGAGCATAGGGTCCTTGGGTTCACTCTGGGAAAGCTTTCACCAGAGTTCCCCTTTCACCAGCACTGGCAAGTTCCCAGGCAAGTTTCTCAATGACACAGCGATGTTAGTTATATCCAGAAGGGCAGGTTTATTATAAAAGGGAGACCAGAATAAAGGACTAAATGGACAGAAAGGGCTGCCCCGAAAGGGACAGGTTTGCTAAGAGAGAGACCTGTGTGGTTGCAGGCAAGCAGGCCTTGAGGAGAGCTGCCCCTGCTGAGGGAGGTCAGTGAAGAGACGCCCCGGCATGGTACAGGTCACAGGCAGGCAGAAAGGCTGCTGCCCTGCAGAGGGACAGAGAGTTGGCCAAAAGGAGCACCTGCATAGGCACAGGTGGGCAGAAGGACTGATGCCCCGTGCCAGTGTAGAGATTGCACTGATAAAGACTTCTCTTTGGGAGGGGCTCACTCCTTCATGGAGTGGTTTGTTGTTGACTTTGAACAAACTGTAGAATTTGAAGGGGGCCTGATTTCTACACTGGCCCTCAATCTCCATATCTTTACCTTCAGGTCTGCCCTCCTGACACCCCCTACAGCAGTCTGCTACCTGCCTGGGTCCTTGTATTTTGTGATCTAGGCATTAGCGCCTAAGGATCTTAGTCCCTATAGCTGGGTTAAAAGCTATGTTAATCCCTTCTACCCCCATCTCCAGCTCTTGACATTGTGTGAGCCAGGTTTCTGATCTTGTGGTGCCTCCTTTCCAGTTTTTCCATCCTTCTCCTCCATCATTGAACATGAAAGAATAGTTCAATTAAAAGTGGCATGTCCGTCAAGACTGTCTCCTGAGCCTTTGGGTGGGGTGGGAGCCCTTGTCTGATTAGAAGTGAGGCTGCTTCCCTGGACTGTTTGCTTACTTTTTTTGAATGCCCCCTTTATTTCTGCGGTTGCATCAGCATTGCTGTAAAAATGTTCAACATCACTTGTAATCAGGGAAATGCAAATCAAAACTACCATGAGATACCATCTTACACCAGTGAGAATGGCACATATTAAAAAAACTAGCAACAACAAATGTTGGCAAGGATGTGGAGAAAAAGGAACTCTGCTGCACTGTTGGTGGGAGTGCAAATTGGTCCAACCACTATGGAGAGCTGTGTGGAGATTTCTGGACCTACTAAACATAGAGCTTCCATATGATCCAGCAATTCCACTGCTAGGTATTTACCCAAAGGACACAGAAACATCAATTCCAAAGAGCACCTGCACCCCTATGTTTATAGCAGCACTGTTTACAATAGCTAAGCTTTGGAAACAACCCAAATGCCCAAAAATAGATGACTGGATCAAGAAGATGTGGTACATATACACCATGGAATATTACTCAGCATTCAAAAAAGATAAACACATGCAATTTGCAGCAACATGGATGGCGCTGGAAGGGATCATGCTCAGCGAAATAAGCCAAAAAGAAAAAGAAAAATACCGGATGGTCTCACTCATAGCAGGAATCTAGAAAACTTAAATAAGGGACCAGGAAAAAGAATAACTATAAGAAAGAAAATATCAAAATCAACAAATAACTATGAACAAGAGACACTCTATGGGGTGTGGGAGGCGGGGAAAGGAGGGCTTGGGGTAAAAATAAGGGGGTTGTAATTGTATGGGTAATATAAAAATAAAATTTAAATTAAAAAAAGATAATATAGAGCGCTTGTATGTGGTAGAATTGAAAGAAGTAGTATTTTCTCTCTTATATATATACTTTGATATGTGCTTGTACATACACAATTTCAGATTCCTATCAATTGTTTATATTTTCAGAAAAAGTATAAAGATGAAGCAGAGAAGATGCTTTCTAACTATTCTACTGTGGCAGATACCCCCGAAATTCAGAGGATTAAAACAACTCAACAAAACATTAGTGCGGTGAGTAGCTGTGATTTCTTTTCAGTTCTCACCTTTAAATTGTGTTTTGTAAGGAGAGCCTTTTTTTCTCTTTGTTTGATTTTCTGCTGCACTGCTTGAATTTCTATCAAATGTATTATCTTTCTTTAAAAGAATAAAAGTACCAAATGTTCTGACAAGTTATAATTTATCAAGATTGTTTTAGAATTACAAATTCAAATTTTCTTCTTTGGTACAAGTGACAGTTATTTTTAACTACATTTTAGCATTTCACTCAAGAAAGAAGCCCTATTTTTTCACACAGATTTACTTTGAAGATGAGGTTATTTTCTTTCTGGTCACTGATTATTTGCACTGATGATATATCTAGGGCTAGTTTGTAAACAATTCTAAACTGTTATATTTTTATCTTGAGGAGTACGAATTGCATCAGTAGCATTAGTTAAGGGCTGGGTTTATGTTTAATGTGCATATAAACTTGAATTCTAAAATTATAAAAATTACAAAAATCAATATGCAGCCAATATTTTAATATAGAATTAGCTCACTTAGTAATTAAACAAGTCTTATCAATATGTAAATTCTACTAAGTCTGAGCACTTCTGGAATATTTCCTACTTTCTAATAAGCTGACAAACTCCAACCCTTAGCATAAGCAGGTCAGGTACCTTTAGGGTCTTCAAAGGCAGACTGTGCTAAGCAATGGAAGGAAGTCCTTTGGAAAAGAAGATGAGTGGGAAAAGGCTGTTTGCTACCTCATTGCCTGTGATTCGATTGTGTCCACATTTCTAACTTATGGAGGAAAACATCTGTCCCTCCCAATCCTCACTAGAGCTTCCTGGATTACCAGGGACAGTAACTCTGTTCACCTATGTTTTTCTTGTAATTATTATATTTTCCTGTGCTTTTGCTTTGCTTTGTGTTTGAAAGGGGTAGTAGATGTTATAGGAGTGGAGAGTCCTTGGGGAAGATGAACAACTAAATAGAAGATAAGGAAAATAGCCTGATTAATGTTGATGTTGATGATGTAATTTATATTTTCTTTGAAGGGAATGAGGTCATCTTGATGTTTAGAGAAGAGCACTACTAAAAATTTCATGCTTTTTTGATAAATTATAGCTGTTTGATGGGCTTTCATAATATGTATTTTGAATTTTCTCAAATGCACACGTGATATATTTATGTTTGAAAAAGGAAATGCTAGTTGGTTTGCTTATATTCTTAGAGTAAATAATCTGCAACCACCTTTTCTAACTATACAAGAAAACCAAGTTGAACATTTGTTCTTATAATGGATTATTTAATTGATTAATATAACATTGGTCCTCATAAATGGAAGCTGTATCCACATTACTTTAAAACTTGAGAAATGTCTCTTTTATAAGAAATGGATCTAAGACTTGAATTCTAATAAGCTTAGAGTTATTTTTTTCTTTCTCTTACAATAAAGGTATTTTATAAGAAAGAAATAGGAGCTGGCACAGCAGTAAAAGATACTCCAGAGATTAATCGAGTGAAGAAAAATCAGCAGAATATTAGTTCAGTAAGTTTTCTATAGCATTAATTGTCCTTTCCAAAAGCAAACATAAGCTAGATAAATGTTCTCAGTTCATTATTAAACTGGCTGCCTTTCTCTTTTATTCTTCATTTTGATGAAATGCTATTTCATCAAATATCAAAGGCTTAACTTTCAGAAGGAAACAGTAGCCTTGTTCCCCTTGAACCTAAAGCAGTGTTTCATCTTGATATATCATAGTGCATAAGAGATAGATCACTTTAATAGTACAGTAATGAAATCTAGGACTAGATTTCATCTTTTTGAACAGTATTTTAGCCGTATTAAATTTTTCAGGGGAAGGATAAATTTCAGTACCTCCTCAAACTTGGAGGAAAGAAATTTTACCCTGCTAGAATGATTAAAGGCCCGAGAACATTTATTTGGTGGCTTAAGAGAAGTTTGAAAGGTCTTATTTGCCTTCTACTTTTTCCAGTTTACAGCAAGGAAAAACACACACCTTTACTGTAATTTGCAAGATAACTTACTCGCCAATTCCCTTTGAACTTTGTGGAAGGGTAGAGGAGCTACTTAACATATGGGTAAAATCTTCTCCATTCAGTGCTTGACATTTACAATGGAAAATTGCTACACTTAACAATAGTTATTCTTGTATGAACATTTAGTGTATTTATTCTTGTTGAGGAAGTCAAAAGGGTTTTCCCCTCAGATCCCCTTCCCTGACCTTCACCTTTGGAGGCAGTGCTTTCGAGAACTGTTTAAGGGTAGTCCAAATGGAATGGCCTTGATTAGATTCCAGTCTGTAACTCTGATCCTAGAATATGGGTGAATGCTGATATTTGAGCAGAAAGAGTAGGAGGAGGGTCATAATGTAGTAAAACATCAAAATGAATTTATTAAAAAAACCTTCCAAATACTAGATTAGTACAACCTCTTTAGGATGAATGACACTGTCTTCTGAAGAAAGTATAAAGAGAATGACTTTCTAATGAGGGTATGTAGTTTGTTCTGATTTAACCCAGGCGAGATCCTGGGTCGGACAACACATGGATCTGGGAGAAGAATTAGTTTGGAAGAGACTTGTAAAGTGTTTGCTTCCCTCACTTTCTAATGATAATATTTGAAATGAACCCATCCATGTACTGGGATTTAATGTTATAAATGCTCTGTAGTGCACATTTCTATTGCCTACAGTGAAATGACTGTGCCATTTTGATTAGAGTTGTATGGAAAACAAAAATGTTCACCTTTAATCATGTTTAGCTTTTTCACCCGAGGAAAATCACACAGAGTAGTACACTATATCATTTCTGTCCCCAGCATTGCATTGCCTCTTCTAGCAAACATTAAATGCATGCTTCTGTGTCTCTGTGAGGTTAGGCCATAAACTCCTGCTTAGTATTCAAATGGAAAGTTGCCCTTTCAAGATTAGCTAGATCTGTCAAACCAAGATATGATTCTTTAACATTTAAAGATCTCGACATTTCTACCTCCAGAGTACAAGCCTTTTAGCTATTAGTTTTCTCTGTTAAGAGCTATTTTTGAATCTTGTTTAGAGGCAACCTGTCTCAGTATACTCTCAGTTTAACTCTTCAGGATCTGGACTAATACTGGCATTATTTTTTGCATATTAAATCAACAGATACTAAACATAGATGAGATCTGAGATATTTAGGTACTGTTTCTCTAGGACTGTCAGCATGAATTTCAATCTTTATCATTTCAAACACCACCCATTGATTTCTAGACTGTTTTGTGTAGACTGAAATCTTTGCTAAATTTCAACTTGTGCCTCTTAAGCCTAGCCTGTGTTTCCATACATATAGATACATGTGTTTCCTTTTTCTTGAATTCAATCTTCCATGAATTTTAGACATATTAAAATACCACCTAATATGATAGCATCACTAATTGCTTCGTAAGTTTAAAGAGCTGTTTCTTGTTCTATGCATAACTGTGCTGACATTACCATTTGCCTCTAAATATATCTCTCAGTCGGTTTGCAGGAATATCTTTCCACTCAAGTGAGGGTCAGAAATGTAGGTGATTTTTACATAACATGAAGGAAGGAAGCAGTAGCCTGTAGAAGGCTACCCCCTGATGTTCTGCCACTGACTCCTCTTTGGTGATCAGGACAGAGTGGCCTCTGTTTTTACTACATTTTCCCCCCTCTTCTCTCTTTTCTCCTTTTGTTGTGACCACCTGTTTTTTATTTTCTTCTTTATTCTGTATCGAGCACCCTCAGTCAGATAAAGTGTTTTTGAGTGGTTGCTGATTCAATTTGACTTTGGCCTTAAAATACATGGTAAATTTAAGTTAACCTGTTAATAAATAGAAGCTGCTTTTAAAAATTATGTTTATCTTGGTAACATTGATTTATGACTCTGTGTGTTTTAGGGATTTAGGTTCACATCTCTGCAAGTGTATGTTATCACACCCTGCCCACTGCTACCACCGAAGCACCAACAGTCTTGCACCACAGTCCACAGAGCCCCCTACTCCTACTGTCTCTCCCTTCTGGACTCTGTTTCTGGTAGTGCCATTCTAGAAACTGCTTTTTGGAGAGAAAGTAATACACTATTATATTACTTAAGCTGATCTCCAAGGTTTTTGTGCATCTGCCTAATGATAATACTTATTTTCATAAGCAACATTTACTTATTTTAATTTAAAAAATCTACAGTGATAGGTGAATAAATATGGGTTTATTTGCATGTTTCAATAATGGATTCCTGAAAGCATCAGATGAAATAAAATGTTGGAATTTAAAATTTCAATTATGCAATAATTAAAAATGAATTTCTTGAGAATGGTTAATTTAGAATGTTTTGAGCTTTGTGTTGAATAAAAATTCATAGTTTGTTTTAATAAATTACACAGGTGAGATACAAAGAAGAGATAAAACAGGCAACAGCCATTTCTGATCCTCCAGAGCTAAAGCGAGTTAAAGAAAACCAGAAGAACATCAGCAATGTGTGATCATATTTCTTTAAGTACTTTTTTCTGTTTTAATGGATGTCAGTCCACAGTGAGGGTATAACAATTGTACAGGTCAGGTTCCATTACAGTGAATTCTACTGTTGGAGGGTCAGTTCTTTAAAGATGGAGAAGATTTCACACCTCTTTATGCCACACTAGCCCATTGCTGGTGTGTGCACAAAGAAAAATGTTACTGAATACCTACTATGTCCTTGTTCCTGGGAGACTTCAAAGAAGAGTGATATATCCCCTAAGGTTAGAGACTGAATATTCTCAAGGTCTCTAGAAGGAACAGGCATCGAGACAATTATGCAGTGTTTAAGTGCTATAAGGATAACTAACATTTACCATGATTTTTGTGTAACTTCCATTCAATATCTCATTTAATAATAAATAAAAATTCCTCTTGCAAAGTGCTGTACAAATTCAGGAAGGCTGTGTTAGAGAGAAAAGATCCTTGGAGAAAGAATATCATGTGAATTAGATCTTGAAGATTTCATAAGGGTTTGGCGTGGTTTCATGAGGAAGTGCCTTTCCTGGTTAAGCAGTCTGAATATGTGTAGGATCCAAGGCCCGTTCAAGAAGGGACAGGTTTAATGTGATGAATAAAGGTCACAAGAGATGATGGTGGTCAAGGTCATAAGAAGTTAGTCGGGAACCCCAGTGTCCTTCAGTATGGTTAACATACTAGCATGGTATTTAAGAGGATATTAAGAGACCCATTGATGATCAGGTCTTGACTTAGTGATTAATTTGTCTCAATGTATATCTTTTTAGAAAAGAACAGTATTTTCAATTTATCATAGAGACATATCACCCCCTTAAAATATCTTTATATGAAAATAATACGAAGTTAATGAAAAAATACTATAAGTCACAGCACAGGTGATATAATATGGCGTATGGCAGCTGGTGTGTCCATAGTGGAATTTGACTAACACTGGATTAAATGGGAAGAATATCAACCCTGAACTGTTAGTTTGACCCCAGCTCCAGACCTTCCTTGATGTATAACCCTCATAAGCCAGCCTCTGCAAACTCAGTTTTCTCATGTATAAAGGAGGAAGTAGGATGCTGAGTGAGATAGTGCCTGTAAAGGTCTTGGCATGTTTGTGAGTGGATAAATGTAAGACATGAAAGTCTCCATGTTAAATTTATGCCCCCAACTTCACTTGCACTAGAGATGGACTGCAACAGTTTCTCTACATCAGTAATGTTGTTCAACAGACTTTCCCCCTCTGAATTCTACTCAAAATAACCTTTTCTTGCATCTTGCCATTCATAGACATTACCCAGAAACTCTCCTTCCTTTAACTTGGACTGTTATTCCTATCACAAGAATCTGCCTAAACTCTCAACCAATATACCATGGCATGTAGTAAATCATACATCAAGGAGAGGAGAAAAGTCAAAGTAGAAGGGATGACACCCTTTCTCATTTACTTTCTAGGTTGATCAGACCTCTCTGTACTGGCACATTGGCTGTTGAGAGTGTGCATCTCAAGTCCATTTTATTGTGGGCCCCATGGGCCTTGTGAATTCTTGTAAAATTAAATCCTTAACATTAAATTTAAACTCCAAAAAAAATCAATAATACTGTTCTTGAGGAATGCCTTATAATTAATTTTAACCTGTAGTTTTACTTTTATCTGTCAGATTCATCTGATGATCTTGCTGTCCCATTTCTCTGTGTTGGGTGCTCATCTGTGTCCTGGGGTGTTGTGGAATTGCTGGGAAACTTGTCCACAAATGATAGGGTCTGATCCCCCAGCTAAGAAAGAAGCCCCTCTGCACAGTAGGCCAGGAAAATTTCCATGAGGACAGTTAGAGTGCAGGCCTTCTAGTGTTGGGGATTTGTGCAGAAAGAGACTTTGAGTTTCAGGTACCTCTTAGTGACCGTCTGTCACTAGGATGCAGGCATAAGGCTGTTGGGACTCTCTTATCTAATGGCAGGAGCGCAGAATCTTTTTTAAAAATTGTAGTAAAACAGTAAAATAACATTAAGTCTACCAGTTTAACCATGGACTTATTCTACAATATAAAATGATAATTTGATAAATATTGCTTTAGTGCTATGAAATAAATGAATTCACGGAAGGGATCATATATTACTACTGATCAGATAACCTCAGAGAGGCTACCGAGAAATACTACTCCTTGAAGAATAACCACTAAAAGTGAAATTCAAAACAATCTTTGGACAACAAAAACTTAAGAATCTGGGATCACTAAGATGATGACATCTACCAGCAATGCATATTTTCCTATAAAATCCAATAAGGAATTTTAAAACTAATGAATGCTCTGTAGTATGTGACATGTCTTTTAATCTGTCCCAGTGTTGTGGTACATGTGTCCCTCCCGTAACCCTGCTGTCTTGCACCCTGTCTCCCAGCTCCAGTATAAAGAGCAGAGGTATAAGGCGACCCCAGTCAGCACAACACCAGAGATAGAGAGAGTGAGGCGGAACCAGGAGCAGCTGAGCATGGCAAGTTGTTCTGCTTTCTCTTATATTTTTATCAAGCATTACCTACTTTCATTCTTCACAACACTCTCTGAAAAGCTTTAAACCCTCTCCATATGTGGATGCTCCTTTGCACATTCACATATTGAAAGGCATGCACTTTGGCTCTCTCATGTGAGTCCAGGAAAATTTGGGACTGTGTTTCTATAATTTATCCATGTTTGTCTATTCCAGAAATCTTCTTTAAGCATCCCTAGTGTGCTAGGCACTGTTCTGGCCACTGGCATACAAAGATGGATAGGACTCAGCTCCTATCCTCATGGACCTCATAGTTTTAGTTGGCAAATCTTTGAAAATATATCCCGGTGAGGGCCTGGAGTACAGTGGATCTGGTGTTAATCTGAGAAAAAAAAAAATATCTCTTGGAATAGGAATCTTGAGGCCGGGGCCCTTATAAGTAAAATGGAAAACATTATTTAATCATTCAATAATCTATTGCTAAGAAAGCAATGAGAGTTAACAGTTGTGATTGTTAATCTCTAACATGGAGCATGTGTGAAATACTTTATGTGAGCCTCATGAGGTTGGCACAGTTCTTAGGTGTGGGAAACTGAGACTTGGGGAGGTCAGAGGACGTTAGATACCCAGAGTTTGTAAGGGAATAGTTGGGATTTGAACCCAGACCTCCCAGAATTCAAAACTTCCTGTCAAAGATGCTTCCCAATGGTTATTTTTTTCTGTTTTCTGATCTCTACCAATATAAACACTAGTCTTCTTGTAAAACAGATAAAGTCTTTTGAAAGACTTTAAGAGTTCTCCCTGGTGGAGAGAAAATTGGGCCGAATTCTGCTTTATCCTTATAATATTCTTAGTAGGTGGCACAAGTGAGGGGGTCTCTAACTTCTGTGGAGGTGAAGTCCCAGGGTCAGAGAGAGAGAGTATATAGCCAGCCACAGTGACTTCACTATAATTCTCTGTAATGACTTCACTCTAACCTTTCTGCAGTTTATTTACATTATTTTATTTATAGAATCTCCAGTCAGTTTTGATATTGAACAATAAAGTATTTATAAAAATGTAATTTTTAAGAAGGACAACCAACACTTTGTGCTTGCTAAGTAAGATGACACAAAATCCAGGTGTAAAGGTGAACAAGAAAGTTCACTGATATGTACTATGGAAAACAAATGTGTCAAACGGTAGGGTTCATTTTGCGGCTCATGCTCTATGGTACTTGGGTGGAAGCCATTCTGCTAACTATAAAATCCTTATTTATCCTCCACAGGTAAAATACAAAGGAGAGATGAAACAGGCAACAGCCATTTCCGATCCACCAGAGCTAAAGAGAGTTAAAGAAAATCAGAAGAACATCAGCAATGTGTGATCTTAGCATCTTTCTTTTTGTGATAGCAAACGTATTATCAATATGTCAAGGAAGGGATTGTGTTTACAGATTTTTCACAGCCTTGTGTTGATAGTCTGCTCTCAATTCACTACCAGTGTATTTGAAAGGTTTCAGGGTTTTAGGTATGGTGGGTGCAGCCAGGCGTTCCCTGCTCTAGAGTTCTCGGTGACTAGCAGTGTGACTTTTGTCTGCAGGTCATCATGTGTCCCTTATCTTCATGCTGCAGCTGCTGTAGTTCTCCATAGTGCCATGAGAGTAGCTTTGGGTGTCTAGACCCTACAGATAAGTTTTCCCATTATCTTTCCTACCTGGATGTGTTCTTGTTTTCTGGCCCCCCTCACCCTGTTCTCCAGGTCCCAGCTAGTGTCATTTTATTTTTGGATGATGTCTAGGGAGAAATGATAAAGTCTGCAAACTGAGCAGGTCACACAGGGCAGACCCATGTTACAGGCACTCGAAGAGGAGCTGTCAGTTTTCACTTAGACAACAACCCCTGGCCTGCTCTAGCTTTCTTCTGTTTATATAATCCATGGATGTCATTCACTGAGAGAAGCCTTTTTTGAAGTCATTAACATATAGATTGGGTTCTTTGGAAGAGGAAATTTGGAAATCTATTAAGTTCAAAGAAATCGTTTATTCTTCAAACTTTTATAAAGTCGTTTAACCAGATTATAAAGCAAAGGCAGGTTATTGTTTGGCACTTTTCTTAAAACTGTCATTTGGAGATGTGGATGCTCATCTCTTCCTGGTATATTTAGAGTCACACTTGATGTGACTCCATTACTCTCAAAAAGGAAAGTGGTAATTGAGAAGGAGGAATGGAGGGGTGGAAAGCCTGCTGGCCCTTTGATGGATGACCGTGGTCACCTACTTAAAGACATCCTTCCAAAAGTTCTGCTGCATTTAATTTGAAAGAAACCACCACAGGATAGTACCTTTCTAAACCCAGAGGAGTACCTGTAAATAATTGATGGAGGGCCTCCCCTGGTGGTGCAGAGGGTTGAGCACAGCGCTGTGAAGCTGTCCACAGCCTCTGCAGCTAGGGTTCGGACCTCTCCTGTCTCACCTGCTGCTCCCCTCAGCAGTGTATTTCATCAGTCTGCCTATTCTGTTCCCCACTCTGTCTCTGGTGAATCCTCTCACCCTCCCGCCCATCTGGCCTGTACCCCAGTTCTTGTATGCATGGATAACTAAATCTTAAAAAAAAAAAAAGCAAGGAAAAAAAATAATCGATGGAGACATTGCTTATCATGCCTCTTTATGATGGAATGCTTACTGCGGCTTTCTTGATGTATGTCCATGCATTTGAGGCCATTCGCAGTGATTTAGACCCATAAACACATGTATGGGAGGAATAAAATAGATTGATTATGATGCAAAATTTTTAATTATGATAGGTTTCTGACAGCAACCTCTTTTTATTAATTTATTTTCTTTTGGCTAGTCCTTGAAAATAAATACTGTGAGATGCATATTTAGTTGAATTGACTCACAGTACTCTTTTGTTTTCTGAAATGATAGGTTTGTTATAAAAGTCAATTGGGAAGAGCCACAGCTTTAAGTGTAACTCCTGAAATGGAGAGAGTAAAGAAGAATCAAGAAAATATTAGTTCGGCAAGTGTTTTTATTAATTTTGGTCTATTTCTAAGGATTTGGCTTTTATTGTTTACATTAGTCCCTTTTTTTATCTTGGAAAGTAGAATCTGTTTTTAAGGAAGCATTTGTAATATAGTCAATGAGTACATGCATTATTTCAGATGACTTCTAAAAGTTGCCACTGTAAATTTATATTTTCTTGCAAACCTTTATTGCTATTTCCAGATGTGACAATTACAGTCAAGTTTAGTGTTAAACTAGATCACATTCATTTAAACAGAGATTCATGTTATTTTAGCCAGTGTCTTTGAAAGTGGTAAAGTCTTTGATGCATAATTTATGTAACTGTAATTTTATGGATGCAGATTGCTAAATGCTCTTTGCACAACCAAATAAGGAATGAGTCATTACTCCAAAGAAAGGGGAAAAAATCTTTAAATACATTTAATATAGAAATCAGCTACTCATTAAAGTCCTGTGGTGCCTATCAGTCTTATTTGGATCGTGTGCTTCTCTGAGTATCGGGCACATATGCCCTCGGGTCTGCAATAATTGGTGTCTTAAACTGATACATAATCAGCTTCACAAATTGCAGTGTTATGATGATCAGCTGTCAAGAGGGGCTCTATGCCTGGGGATCAGCATTTAGGTTTATAATTTATAGTTCTCTAGTGGCATTTCTGTCCAAAGATGCTGACTGTATCAACATAAATTACCTTTAAGCTGTGGCTGCTTAGAGGAAAACTAGATTTGTTCTTCATTATTTCTATCCTTTGTGAAAGTGAAATAAAAGGAAGTAGAGGGAAGTTTGGTGTACATTCTTCAACAACTCTATGGTGGAAAATAGGGCAGTCTAGGAACAGGAAAGTAAATTTAGGTTCATTAATTTTGGATCATCTTTGCTGACTTTAAGTAAATTTAGGTTCATTAATTTTGGATCATCTTTGCTGACTTTAAGTATGATAATCACTTTTACTGACTACGTTGTTAGTTGTTAGTGGCTTTGGCTACTCATGCATTTGTTTTCAGTTGTAAAGAAGTTTAGATCATTTTTGTTATAGTCTTTGAGAGTAAAATTTTAGGCTATGTTCCTAAAACAAAATAAACCACTGAACTACCTACATAGGAAGTAATTCAGAATATTTTTGGGAAGCTTGAAAAAGTATTTTTTTATTATAATTGTCTTATAAGTATGTCTGCTGTTTGCTTTGCAGGTAAAATATACCCAGGACCATAAGCAGATGAAGGGTAGACCAAGTATGATTTTAGATACACCTGGTCTGAGATGTGTCAAAGAAGCACAAAATCATATTTCAATGGTAGGGTACAAGCAGCTCCTCATGACTAAACTATACTAAGGAATGGCACCACTGAGTGTACCCATGGCTTAGATCACCATTAATCCGGATGACTAACAAAGCATGGAAACGCGGACCTGCTCATCTGATAGGGCCAGTTGTAATGTAATAGAAATACTTAGTCTAATAAAATAATTTTTCTCAGTGATTTTTGGGGTGTGTTTTATTTCTAACGCGACTATTATAAATGCATCTTGTGAAAGACATTTGCCTGGAATTTTCCAATTAATTTTATATGGAATTTGGTGTGTTTGCATGTTGCAAAGAATATTTAAAAAAGGTGTTTTAAAAACAGTTTCATGAGATGTCATTATAAACTATAAAGTATGCCCATTAAAATTATACAATTTAATGATTTCTATAATAATTGATAGAGTTGAACATCCATCACTGTAATCCAATGTAAGCAGTTGTAAAATGTATGCTTTAAAGTAGATGTGTTTTTGTAATAATATACAAAAAGTTATGTACCTATAATTAGTTGTAACTTTCAAATCTAATTTTAATTACTACTTTTTTTAAATAATTGTGTGGAAATAGCTTATCATTTGATTGCATACTAAAGTTTAAGAGATAGGAAATTAATATATGGCTAAATTTGTACATTTGGGAAGTAACCAGGATTAAAAAATACAATTTTTAAACCATCTTACTGATGTACAGTGTTCTATATAATTTAAAAGAATTGCTAACCATCTGATGAAAAACATTGTGAAATGATCTCGTTATTTCTGATGCTAGGAAGTTGATTTTGAGAATAATTGGAAAGCACACATACATAGCAAATAATCTCGATGCAGGTGGTTCAGTGAAAGCCACCACTTTATCAAAGTTAGGACATTTCAATTTGAGTTAATATTGTTTTTCCCTTTGTTTCAGGTAAAATATCATGAAGATTTTGAAAAGACAAAGGGAAGGGGCTTTACTCCTGTTGTGGATGACCCAGTGACAGAGCGAGTGCGGAAGAACACCCAGGTTGTCAGTGACGCTGCCTACAAAGGTGTCCATCCTCATATCGTGGAGATGGACAGGAGACCTGGGATCATTGTCGGTAAGCTCGGTGCTTCTCTGCAGGTCTGCATCGTATGAAATCAAACTGCCTTAGATTTAGAGTTAGCCTCCTTACTCACTGTTGTCTCTTGTGTGGAAAATGGACCACAGGCAGGTGTTACCATGTGAACCTTGTTGAACTGGATTAATGGATTCATGATCTTCGCTAGGTATCATTGTAGATCCTTTCTATTTTTGAACATTCTTTCTCTTTCATAATGTTCTTATCTTAAGAATGCCCTTGCTTGTTAAAGAAAGAAGTAATCCAAACATTAGACAGGGATGAAAACAATGGTTAAACAATTATTTTGTTTTCCTTTAGCTTGTGTACCTGATCAGTGTACTGAACTGCAGGCATCATCTTCATGGAGGGCAGAAATGCCAGAAATAGCAGCATTTCGGTCCTAACCACAAGTGGACATACCAGATTCCGATGTTGTTCCATTATATGAATAGCTTATGTATTTTCTAATATTGTTTCTGACCTGGGATAATTGAGAGCTACCTGAAAGTCCCAGAAGTATGAGAGGAAGGAATTTTCCCTTCCTGCCATCTGTTCTGTGTTGTCAGTCAGGGGAAATCTTAGGAATGCAGCGTTGAAAGGTGGCTGAGAGTTCAAGACCATCCTGAAGTCCAAGGTGAGACTGGAAGGAAAGTTTCTGATTTTTCAGTGTCTGTCACCCCTTCTTCCAAATTGAGCTTCTCAATTTATGTAGCGAAATCAGTAGTAATTTTGGTAATCTTGTGACATGCATCTCTGTCCTGTCAGGTTACCTTCTTCTCAGGTGAGGTATCATTTGGGGGCAGGGGGGACTAGTGAAAGGCCATTGAGAGGTAAGTTGGATGAAGAAAGTATATGTTTATTTGACAGGTGATATCTTAGTTTAAATTAACAGTACTGTACTGAAGTGAGGCCACTGAATTACTTGGATTATTACTAAAGGGTATCTGGAAGTATGTTTTGAAGTGGAATTCTAAATGTATCTGTGGGCAATTGATAGCTTCTCTGATCTTCCCATGCTGATTGCTTAAAAGGATCACATTAAGTTGGATGGATAAGTTGTGATGCTTTCATTGAAAGTAACACAGAACTACCAAGTTTCATTACTTTATATCTCTCTTAGAGAAGGTCTAATTCATCTCATGAGGTGGAAATGCTTCTGTACAGCCTACCTCTGGGTCCCCCAACTGGAGGCAGATGAATTTCCTGCCAGAAACAGTGAGATTCTTTAAATTTTGACCTCTAAGAATTCAGTACTCATTACCTTTGAGATAGAAATCATGAATATTTTGAGAACCTAAGATATTTAGCTCTAATTTATCCATTTACTGGATAATTCAGAAGTCATTTTATTTTTCTGATTAAGGGAAACTTTCCATCAAGCACTTGCCTATAAATCCACAAAATGGAGTATATTCAACAAATGTAAAAGTTCTGTGCCAGGCATAGAAATATGGGTTGAGATTTTCCCAGTAATTAGGGCTAAGTCAATTGTGCTGCTTTTATTTTTGTTGTTCTTTATTAGTTGTATAACCTTGGTCAAGATAATTCAATCTCTGCCTCAGCTTCCTCATCTATAAAATCTAGATAGTATTACCTACTTTAATATGTTATGAAACTTAAATGAGTTGTGTTATAACAGAAAATAGTGCCTGGCATACAGTAAGCACTAAATAATATTAATGAAAAAGCAAATGTCCAGTTCCAGTTTACTATTACAGTAAGTCCTTATTTATTGTTGTGCATAGATTCATGGAAACTGCAACTTTAAGCAAAATTCTGCATAACAAAAGCAAGAACTGAAATAATGTTTTGTTCAGTGTTGGCTGGGACTCTCTTTTTCTCATCAATATTATAATAAAATAACATTGGATAAAATAACATTATTTGTGGACCTGCTGTAATAATTTACCCTCAAGATCCATTTCAGCTGCACATCCATAAGTAGGTTTTTATTTTCCTGTAGTTGGTCCAAAACAGCACAGGTTATTTTAGGACCGGATAACCCTTTGTTGTCGAGACTGGTAAACCTGGAAGTTACTAATTAGATTTATTTTGCCTCCAACTAAAATAGGAGTACAAGTTGGCTTGCAGTCTGATTACTGACCCAGCAGGAAAAAGGAGGCTGGGCTCTACTGAGACGAGGAAGCTGCTCCGCATTCATTTTCCCACTCTTGCTTCTGTGCCAGTGCCTTATGGCACTTTTCTAATCCATGTATCTTATGTGGGTTGGCTTGCACTTGCCCCCTCAGAATGAAAAGGGGACTTACCATTTGCCTACATTTTCATTTGTCTCTGTTACAGGGAGAGACACTTTGTTTATTTGTTATGTTTTCTCAGGCAAAACACCTCTCAGTCACTTCCTATGAATGAATCACTTACATGTCTTTCATCAGGAGTTTTAATCAAACATTTTACTGATTTCAGCTGGAGCAAAGCAGGCGCTCTGGGCATGGGGGTGGGGGGGCAGCTGCTTAGAGCTGTGTGATGTGCGTATGTGTCAGGAGCTGACTCACAGGCTGTACTTGAACGGTCAATGAAGAATAAACTAAGCGACTTACATTTGATGGCAACGTTTTCTAAACAGATCCTTGTGACCTGAATATTCTTTCCTTCTCTGGTCTGCAACACAGTGGGTTTGCTTATTACATATTTGCTTTTTATATCCACCCCTTTTCAGACACTTGTTGGACTCTCTTTGGTGCTGACATTTTTTAAAATTCATTCTTGATTTGTTCATTTCTTCCTTTTGTTAAAAAGACCTCAAAGTTTGGCGCACAGACCCTGGTTCCATCTTCGACATTGATCCCCTGGAAGACAATATTCAGTCCAGAAGTCTCCATATGCTCTCTGGTACTGCTTACATTTTGAGTTTCTCTCCATTTACATGCTTTTGTCATGAAAGTGAAGCTACTCTGAACTGTAGAGGCAAATTGTGCCAACTGTGTAATGTAAATTTTAAAGTTGATTCAAAACCCAAAAAAGTGCTATGCTGTTTTAATATACCATTCATCATTTATGAAAACAAAATTTGCAAAAGGGTTTTTGAATATATTCTCCCTTGGTTGTTCTAGGTTCAATTAAAAAGTTATATAGACCATGCTTGCTTATGCTTTTCATTAGTGAATATGATTTAAAGGTTTTCTGAGCTTACAGATATAATTCTTTGGAGTGCACTAAACCTTTGAGATTTGTTTTATGAAAAATACTGTTATAACATTTTAAAGGTAGATTTAAAGAAATATCTTAAAACAAAGGGCACATTTTCTATATAGCGTCATAAAATCTTAAAATAGATTTTAATCCTTGAGTTTTTTATAAAATGCAATGTAGGATGTTTATTTGACTTTTAACTTAAACTACTTATAATTAAAGGCAAAAACTGATTGGTTTGGACATTTCAGACTTTCAGGCCATGTTCAACAAAATTCGAACTTGGAGAGTTATACAATTTTTTTAAACTTTTTTTTTTTAAATATTTATTTATTTATACAAGAGCTGGGGTATAGGCCAGAGGCGCAGGAGGGTGAGAGGATTCACCAGAGACAGAACAGGGAGCAGAACAGGCAGATGGACCAAAAGCACTGCTGAGGGGAGCACAGAATAGGTCTGCTGTGCCATGTGGGAATCTCCCTGGCTGGCCAGGAATTGAACCGGCATTGCAGAGGCTGCAGACAGCTTCACAGCACTGTGCTCAACCCACTGTGCCACCGGGAAAGCCCAAGTTATACAGTTTTTAAAACAATGTTAGTAGATATATCATTTAGGTCTTGTTCTGTCCCCTGATTTCTACTCTGGATTTAATTGTTGATATTAATAAAATTAAATGCTCAAGGCAAGGTAGGAATTGTAATACTTCTATAGTCAATTTGATCCACATCATAAGCTAAACTGTGTCATCTAATTTTCTAAAAGCAAAGAAAAGGCAACAAATATTGTACGCTTGGTGAGGCTTGAAAGCAATTATTTATTACAGACATTATGCTTGATGGAAATTCTTAGTTTGCCAGTGTTTTCTTAGTTTTTGTCAATATCCCATTCCCCATCTTTCCTTTAAGTAGATAAAAACTAAGGAAAAATGGTATTTAAATCATTTATGTAGCCGATACAATGTATGCAAAAATTTGGAGTAGGTGATTAGAACTTAAAATCGCTGAGTTTATTGATTATAATTGAATAATAAGGAACTGCTTGAGTCATTTATGAATATTTTCCCTCCACTATAGAAAAGGCGAGTCAATATAGGAGACACCGATCTCGATCTCATTCCAGCAGTACTTTTGGTACAGGGCTGGGCGATGACAAGTCGGAACTATCCGAGACTTACCCTAGCTTTTCATGCTGCAGTGAGGTGACAAGACCCTCTGATGAAGGAGGTATCAAACATTTACCACTCAAAGAAAATTAATCCATTTTTAAAAATATGTCACAAGCATGTCTTTAACATAATCTTCACTTTGCACATACATTCTAGAGCTTTTTGAAAATTTTTGATTATGTTTACAAAGTTAAGTCCTTATTTTTTTTAAAAAAATTACTAATTTGCATGTTTGTTTTACCTGTCTTCACTCTTTTCACTGCAAATGGATCTTTAATGACAAAAATGTCTTGGGACCTACTATGTGAGTCTGTTTCACAGGGGTTGTGTGTGATGGCTATATACAGAGCTGTGGTGGAAACTTGAATTCTGCCAAGTTTATATCTGATTTCCATTAAGGACAATCAATCTTACAGTTATATTTGAGTCACTAAGAGGTTTCTGTGAATTTGTGTATATGTAGGTATTGATATACAACTGCAGACAGAGTTAGAGCTAGCAAAAAAAGGAATTGGGTATGATGCTTGGGATATGAGATTTTTTTTAAAATAGAAGATACTGTTGGTTGTTCATAATCTCTATATTTTACATACCATCCTTTTCTTCTGCCTTCTATTTTCTGTATCCAAGTTGGTGTATTAGATCTTGAACTTTTAGTTGAAGTTGTTTGGATGTCAAAGAAATCCTGCAGATAAAGCTGTTATTAAAGATTAAGATGAAGATGTGGCCTTACTCATTGCAGCTACGTTTTAATGCAGTAGGCAGGGGAGAGGATGGGGCATATACGAACAAAAGAAATATTGAATTTCCTTTTCAGCCACAAAAGTCAGAGTGCTGAAATCCCTAATACAGGCATTTTGATGTCAACCAACTTAAACGCCACAAGAAAAAAAAGAAATGTGACTGAAGATCTGATGGAATTATGAAAGCTTTTGTAATTTTGCATTGTTTTTTGTAGTCATTAAATTGAAACCCGAGGAAAAAAATCAGTTATACTCTATACATCTTAAATTATACATTCAAACTGATTGGGCTTGGTGGAAAGATGTGAAGCGTCTCCTTTATGATTCTAATGAAACATTTGTGAACTAGTTTTGCACGCTCATATTCAATAGATAAGATACACAGGAGAGATCTTTTCTCTGGTCTCTAACCAAGGGTTCAGTAACCTCTTGAATTTTTTTTTGTTTTTGAACCTAGGATTATTGATTTGTCCCTTCAGTGTTTTCTGTGGTTCTGGAAGTGTAGAATAATGTTGACATTTGACAAGAGAAATAAAACCCAAAGCAAATACAAGAACATATTTTTGTCTAACCTTTCTTAATTTGCTCTCCTCAGCATACTGGAGTTGACATCTCCCCCAAAAGCAGTATTTTTGCTTCACCAGTGCCCCTTTTACTTCATTTCTGCACACACTGATATCCATTCTTTATTCACCAAATGTTTATTGAATGCTCTTTGTACACCAGCCAAGAGTTGGGATCTGGAAATGCATACGGCAGCAAATAAGAGACATGTGTCTGCTCTAAGGGGCTCAGAGTCTGGTGGGGAACCCTGATATTAAGCAGATACTTGCCTAAGCAATATACAGTTATGAAAAGGGTAAGTTCTACGAGGGCAGGTCATGGGGGCCAGATGATACAAAACAGGGGGATTCCATTTGACCTTGAGATGAAGGAAACCTCCCATGGGGAAGATTTGAGCTGACATGGCAATGGTAACTGAAACTTAACTAGACCAAGGGGACTTGGGAGAATGTGTGGGAGAAAAATCTTTCTGCTAGAGAGAATAGAACACTGCAATGGCATGCCAGTGAGACATTTACATGGAGGTGTTGGGCAGCTAGAGTTCAGAGGAGAAGGCTGCTCTGAAGATGAACATGGAAGTCATTGTGGTGATGTAGGTCCCAGATGAGTCTGTAGAGAGAGAGGTTTCAGCAGATAAGTCTAGGTTCACCTGTCTCAGATTCTGTTCTCTCCTCCAGGGCTGCATTTGCTGTTGGTTTATCTATTCTTTCTCTTCTCAAACCACCAGTCCTTTTTTTCTAATTATTTCTAGCAAGAGGACCCTACACTGTGCCAAATGGAGTGAGAAAAATGTCTCCATTGAAAGAAGATATACATAAATATTGCATTTGTACTAGAATTTGACTAAAAGTAACACATGGTGGCATTTATAAACTTCTGCCTCAGTCACCTGTTAGGAGACCAAGATGCTCTGTCTTTAGTGACATTTCCTACTTGGGAACAGACATTGAAAGGGGTACCAGTGGTTATAACATAAACACAAGTGATGGTATACCCACAGCGTATCTGAGTTAATTTGAAAAGATTTCAGGATACATGGGATTATACTCTTGATTTCATTTATTTTAATTGAAGCAAAAGCATATTTCTACCAGTTGGCACTTTGTTTCTTTATTTAAATGGTTAGTGACATATCAAACCTAGTATGTTCAAAACCGTCGTCCACTCCTCACCTTCTTCCTAAAATTCTGCGACTTTTTTTGGCTTCCCTGTACTAAGTGGTCACTGCAACTTTCCAGGTACTGAAGTCAAATTCTTTGGAGTCATCCTCAGCTCTTCTTGTCTTTTACTCACATGCCACATCCAACAATTAGCAAATCCCAAAGCTTTACCAGGAAGAATCTGGCTGCTTGAGCCCACGCTGCCCTCACTACTGTGTCACCTGCTGCTGCCTGCCCCTTGGGTCATCACAGGGGCCTGACTGGTTTCCTGCTTCTGCTCTTGCCACCCCATGCTACCAGATCTCTGCCCAGGGCTGCTTTCTACTCATCAGCTAGAATATATGACTGAAACATACATTGTATCATGTCATTCTTCTGCTTTCTTTTCACTCTGACTATAACCCAAGTCCTCACCACTGCTGACAAAGCCTTCATTGGACCTGGCAGCGAAGATCTGTCCTGGCTCTCTCCATCCCTTGGTTTAATCACACCTTATTGGTCTCTCTGCTTCACTCAAACCTTCCATGAAAGTGCCCCTGGGCCTTTGCACTTACTGTCCCTCATTCTTGGAACACTGTCCCTTTCAACCCACTCTTTCCTTGGTATTTGCTTGCCTATTCCTATGTTTTTGCTCAGATGTCACTTTATAAGAGACCCTTTCTACATAAAACAGACCCCTGCCTGTGCTGTTCTGTCCCTTTCACTCCTTTCTTTTCTCTCGTAGCAGTTGATTCCACCTGAAATATATATTTGTTTATTTGCTTGCTGTCTCTGCTTTGCTAGAACAGAAGCCCTACCAGAACAGGGAGATTGGCTGATTTGTTTACTACTCTATCTCCAGCTCTTAGAATAAACACCCAGCAAATATTTGATGACTGAATGCAATGGGCAAATTAATATTTTAAAAGCTAAAACCACATATATAAATGTATGTAAGTATACATTTAAAAAGAAGTGAAATTCTTTTGTGGGAGGCTTTCAAGGAAATTCTTCCATTTTTGTTTTGATATGTTTCAGTGACATTAAAGCATAGCTGAAAAATAACCAAAAGTGGAAACATCCCCAGCATTTTTTTTTCTTTTTTCTGGTGGGGAAAAGAAAGAGTAGCATCCATGACTTCTTGGTTGCTTTGAAATTTAGGGTCCTCTTTGAAATGTGTCTGATGTTGGGCGCTGGTAGGGAGGTGCTGATTGACTCTGTAAAAGGAGGAAGTTTTCATGGTGGTGACAGCTGTTTGATGAAAACCTTTAATGTCTTTAGCAGTAAGGATTAATCATATGCATTTGCTTGAATACTATTGTAGAAATTGAAAAGAATTTTAAAACAATATTTGTTAGTGGCAAGACAAAGAATAAAAAAATGTATTTAAAATGGCTTTTTTTGCCCTTTCAGATTTTGTTGAGATTCTTAAGTTTTAATCACAATTTTGTGTGATGATGTGTTTTGCACCTGAGGGGAGGCCTTTTGCAGTGGGTGTCTCCCTGCTGTTGAGGTGCTGCGGGTGGCAGCTGTGTTCTGTGGGGAACACAACGCTGGACCTCACCCGAGTGCTCTTACTTCATGGTCTGGATTCTACGCCTGGACAGGAAGAAAGTAGAACAAGAACTTTCTAAGATGTTTTACATTTGCTAGCCCAAGAGACTTACATTTAAACTCTTTCCCCTTTCTTCCTTCTGCATACGAGAATGTGTTCTGTTTTAAGGAGATCTGTTTTACTTTGTGAATGAAATGCCTGGTCAGTTATGCGAGTCATAGTTTTAGGGACCTGCTTCAGAGCCAGAGGAAGTTCTCATTGTTAGGACAAAGGGTTAAACAATCAGCTCATTTCCTTGAGGCAAATGTTTCCATCATTCACATTTGGTTTTCATGAACATTAACATACAAGCCTTCTTTAAGTTTTTATCATTGTTTTAGTTATGTGTCTCACGATATTTTCCCATCTTGCTTTGATTGCGGAATATTTTCATTTTCTTATGTGATTATTTTGGGCTTTCTTTGCTTTTCAGTCTACTTTCCAGGATATTAAGTTACCAAAGGGTTTTTCATTTTACATCTCTACTGTGTTACTTTGATTGAATAAAAGAGGCTTTTATTTAAGGTTCATCTAATTTTGTTTTGATTCTTGAATAGTATTATTTGAAATGATCTTTATTGCTTTTTTGGTATTAGATTAGGTTAACTTATTTTTGTTTGACACACATTTCCTTTAGTAGAAATAATCCTGATGGTTTCTGCTTATTTCACTTCAAGGTTTTCTTTGATCTTTGTGTTTGTCTTTAGTTAGCGTGGGTCTGCAACATGAATTTGCCTCTGCTACATTTGTATGTCCTTGGTTTTCCTTAATGTACAGTGTTCACATTGCTAGTATTTTTATGTCTTTGTAACCAGTATTTACCCTCCTGAGTTTGAACTTGTGCTTAGTTTTGCTTCAGGTATTTTATGTGTTTCTGCTTTCCTCTGAAGCATCTAAATATGGGAATGTGATGGGGAAGGGAAAGCAGATGTACTTTTCCACATAGACATTTGCAATGCTTCAACCTTGTGAACTTTTCCCTTTTTTTTTTTCCTAGTATAAGAATCACATTGTGAAG